AAGGCTTAGTATTCGAATAGTAAATATGTATGAGGTATTTTTTACATGGAGAATTAAATTTACAATAAATATGTCGCGATTTGTTACTTAAAATCCATTTTCTGCCAAGTAATCTCCATAAAAACCTTATCTGAGAGTGCGGACTATCTTAAAGTTAATATTAAGAGCTCAAATTTTCAGGAAATTATTTTTTATCGATTTGAAAGCGTTTAAGCCCCTGGGAGCAAAGAAATTAAAAAAATGCATTTTAAGGACCACCCTAATGTACCTAATAAGCGACGTGCATGATCGAGAACGTTGTAAACCGTGCGCCGTTGTTCGCAGAATTTTAGAAATACAACAGAAAATATTATAATTATTAAAACAGTTTTTTTGTGTTATGCAGCAAAATAAACCCAACGGGTACATTCCCTTTTAATATCAAAATTATTAAATAACTCTAGCGTATCGATTTCAACAATTATTTCTAAGGTAAAGGCTCTCTCTGATTGTACCAAGAGATGTATGTAAGTGGATAGAACATTCTCGCGGTCTTTTTTGCCAGCTGTTGCTGCACCTAGATGACATACATCTCAGTATGAAAATGTAAGAAACTTGGCGAGTGCTGAGGTGGCAATCGATTGTTCATTAACTGATGTGGACTTTTAATTTGCGCTTTCGTTCAAACGAACTCCTAACTAGTTTCTATTGACTTGATCATTTTAACACACTCAAATTAAGCACTACTATAAATGGAAATTTTCTTACTCTGCTCACTTCTAGTAAAATATCAATTAAACAAGACTATGTAGCATTTGCAAAAGCATGTTTGTAAATAAAAATTTAAAAAAACAGCAAATCAATCATCAATATTATTTAGCGCGTGAGCTTCCTATATACTCGAATATATATAAATATTAATAATATGCATTCGTAATTCAAATGGTCGTATACATTTATGCATGCGCTCAGAAATGGAACACAGAACACACATCATTTGACACAATGTTGGCCACCTACACACTATTCCACTAACGGATATCGCGCATGAATAAAATGTGATTGTTTCGTTTTGTTAGCGTGGACCAAGAATAACACATCCTATCTCATGCATTATTTTCATGTCATCAATGTTTTTAACCATACACGAGCAGCAGCAGCAGATTGATAAATAATTCTTATGAATCTTTTGTCGGAAATTATGTGACACGTTGAATACTGCTTGGGAAATCAGCAGCACAACCGAGCGAAAGGGCAATTTGTCACGGCGCACTTCGGAGTTTCATGTTTTATGCGTTTTCGCATTAGTTTTCAATGCTCTGTCTTCGCCCCTCGTTGGCGTTTCGTTCATGCATCATAGCAGCATATCGAGTTACCGACAAATTACACTCCGGAATCCGGTCCCTTTGCGATCAATGTTATTTCGCGGGTGAGCTTGCGAAAATCCAATAAAATAACATAATCATTACCAAATAAGTTAGTGGTCTATATTTTTAATATAGGTACTGATATTTATTTTACATCCACCAAAAGTTCAAGCTTTTTATTTTACATTTGCAGCAAAAAATAATTAACTTTTCAGATGGATGCCATTGTAAATTTGAAACTAGAATGTGGCTATAGCATGCTGATAAAATTTTAGAATTTATTTGATGTATGCATAACGAACACGTAGGAAAATCCAGTAGTCACGTTTTCATTTTAAACTTAAATAAATATATACCAACCGGATTATATTAATACATATTTAAAAAAAATGCTGCGTTATCAGAACATGTTTCACGAATGCACAGACAATATAAAGTAAGGGCACGCAAAGTCGACCGTATTCCTACAATCAGCGGCTTACATAAGCACTTTTTAAACAGCTTTTTATCCAAATTGATGTATGTGATTTTTTACCGCAGTATCTAGGTACAAAGTGTGCAGAGTAATAAAAATGACTGCCAGATTGATGAGTCCCAGTTAATTGACATGCATATAAAATAATGTCGCTTAATACATAGAACGCATAAAAAGCACATATTTCATTGAACTAAACTTTCACAATAATGCCCATTTGGCTAAAATGAAAAAGGTTAAAATAGAATATTATAATTTTAGAAGTAGCTAAAAATAGCATGACCAGAATGCAATGAAAGTATTGAAATTTATTATCTCCCTCGACCGTGTGCTCACCCTTTCTACAAGCAGATATGAAAGATTGTCAATCAATAGAAAATGCATCGACGCGGCGTCGAGATGATAATACAAGTGAAGTGTAAAGCATCATCGAGATGAGAGTGATTCAATGTGGCTTGTTCGCCTCTCGGATGATGCACTTCACTTCCCCGCCTCTCAATTGATTTCCTGAAATTTCCCAAGAAATAAGCGTGTTTGTTGTTGTTTTCTTTCATTCATCTCTATACACTTAAAAGAATGGAAAAAGCTGTTGCAAAAACGTGGTATTGTTCCGGTTTTTTCTTTAAATTAATAAAATTATCTAAAGACACTCACATAACGGCCGCATTCAATCTTTTTTACTTCAAACCTAAAAATATTACCTATTGTTTAATGTGCAGATAAGAAAAGTGCTTTAGAAGTAAAAGCATGAAGGTCAGGGGGAAGTATTAATGCAATATTAGCTGGCCCTTCATAAAATGCAATTTTCAGCGTATTATAGTCCAAGTAAATAGGTTGTTATCAAACAAAACAGATTGAGGTTGATTTTTTGTCATCGTTTAACCAAGTGATTATAATGCAGCAGATAGGAAAAAAAGCAAAATAAGCCTTAATACGCAGTTTTTTGTCACTTGTTTTATTTTTTTAGTCCCTTGTCAAGAATTTGGCCTTAATTTACTCTGTTAATTAAAAATAAAAAAAAATGATAATGTGGGGCAAAGGGGAGCCCCCTTTCAAAAATTTTTAAAATGCCACTTTTTCAGCTTGCTTCACTTTTTTGGCCTTCTGTTGAGTTTTTGGTTATAATTTTGGTTAAAATTTTGCAAACCACTAGTTTAAAATGATCGCTGCTTTTTAAAGACTAGGCAAGTCCATTTTACCTCCTAAATACTTTTAATGTGATAAATTTTTAGGGCCTATTTTGCCCCTACATATTTTTAGACATTAAAAATTTTACAAAACCCATTTTACCCCCAAGGGTCCAATTTGACCTCCTTTTCCAAAAAAACGTATACGCCTTATTTAGTCACATGCAGCAAATGATCAAACTAAAACAAAGAAGTGCCTACAAAATCTTTTTTGTGGAGATTTTCAGTTTGGCAATTGAATCTGTGCATGTATTAATTCCTTTTGGTGGAATATCTGATGCAAACCGAATACGTCAAATGCCATTCACCAATTTTCCGATAATTAAACCATTCACCCTTCCACGAGCACACACACACACAGTTGATCCAATCCAATTCACATGCTAATGTGCAACAAGCGACGCATGAAATTATGGAAAACAAGAAATTAAAAAATCCTAACTCTTTACATTTTCCATCTCAACACACATTCATAACGCAGGTGAATGAAGTTCATAGTGAACGATGATTTATTTGTCTGTGTACAAAGTGCAGTCAGCAGCAAAACAGACCAGACTAGTCATTAAATGCTTATATTCATTCTTTATTAATAAACATTACTCATTACCTTTTATTGCGAATTATTGGATAGTTTTTTATGTTCGGCATGTACGATAGTCTTTGAAATAGCATGTTGTGTAATAGCAGACACAAGCTATATGTTAAAAATTGTGCGGTAAAGCAGGTAGTGCGAATAAACATTACCATGTTAAAACTATAAACGCGTTTAGGCATTTGGTTGCTTAAAGTCTCCTTAAGCGTAGGTTCATTGTTAAAAAATATTATTGTTAATGTTAATTAATATACCATATCGAAACATTATGAAGTACGACGTGAAGTACATGCATGCAAAATCACGCTCGCAAAAAAATGTGTATAATGCAAGTTTTGCAAGCAGTAACATAAACAAAAGAACGAAATGAACGTGAGTAGGTTGAAACAAGTTGGAGTAGGCCATGAATGTGCGTTGATTGGATGAGTAGGTTTGGAGTTTGCACAGACTTCTACAACGCTAGCAGCAATACACAGTCCAGTGGTTTGTTCGCATAAAACGAGACTTCCGGTTTGTTTTTTACCACCAAAAAAAATTGGTCGACAATGATACCGTAACGCCGAAAATTGTCAGTAGATATTATTATTCATTAAAACTAATATAATAAAAAAATTTGTTGTTTCACATGTAGGTAATTACGTTAGTGCAAACATTCGAATTTGTCTTGATCGATGTCACTCTTATAAGGTTAATTTTATAACTTCCGTTTGAACGTTTATAATTAGTCTCTTATAATAGGGAAGACCGACTGACAGAGTGTATGTTAATGAGCCCAATGTCGCGAGCGTTTAAAACGGAGCATCCTCACACACTCATCCTTATACGGCGCTCTTCTGCCTAATTATGTCATGCGGAAGGAAGTTAAAAATACAACCTAACGTGACCAAGACCCGCATGACGTGATATCGTACTACGACGTATTAATCCTTGTTCCTTTACATGCAGATTACAGGATGCACACTTGTGCATTTTTTTTTGTACTTTTTAAGGCTATAATATAACGTGGACGAGTTTGATTTTGATGTCAGTCGAGCTGGTTTAAAAGTCCTGCATCAACTTCATACAGCTCGGCAGACGAGACGGGCTCAATGAGGGTTTGTCCGAGTCAGTGCCATATAAAAATGGAACGTTACGGGTTTACGGAATTTGGAACTCCTCTAAACGGATTCCAGACTATCGTATATTGCTTTTTGACAAACGCGCGGGATTCAGTAGATTGTAAAAGGGATTACTTTTTTTAACGTACGCATTGTATCCTCAGCTGCGAAATTTTATCTCTACTTTTTCATCAAATTTTTTGTTGTCCCTCGAGAGATTCTATGAATGCTCCCGGCTAGACAACGCTTGGTAAACACAAGTATAGAGTACAAGAGCATGCGAGAAGAAGACAAGTCTCTCACCTTTCCAAACAGGTTAGCCGCATTTTTGTACAAATTCCACGCTCCTCTCACGTATATTATATCAATAGTAACACACATTCACACACACACCATCGATGTTCACAATTGTACACAAAAAATATTTATTTGTTTAAACTTATCATGCTTTGTGGCATGAAAATTATCGACTAATATTGACTTTCCAGTTGACTGGTTTGTTTTAGCTTTGCAGCGCGCACGCAAATTTGTTGCAATTTATGCACCGCATAAAGTTATCCACTTTGTGATTGTTGGTGGAAACAGATTGTTGGTGCTTGGCAGCCGTTAAGATCTCCAGCGGTTATTATGACGTTTGTTGTAACGCAGTACCGGCGTGAGTTGCTTTGTTGCTGGTCTTGTTGCCGTGCGCCGATTCGCTGTGCAGAATTTTGCACACAACTGAATCGTACGGTGCCCGGATAAGGTCCAGTGCATTTCAGTTTACCTTCTCTCCTCTGGTAAACTATTATTACTGGTAAACCTAGCGAGCGAACAAAACGCGCGGCTGACGTGTAAATTCACACAAAAACACACATACACATGCACAGGTTGCACAGCTCCGGTTATCTATATTGTTATTCGCGCGATATTTACATTATTCTGTTTGCGCCCGGCGAACGGCACACGCGGTTCACCACATAACGCCACCACCCAACGAGGCGCGGACCGCACACGCGAAGCGCCGACAACTCACAAGAGTCGGAAAGAAACTGCGCTCCGCAGAAAGTTGGAGGTAACCGGTGTCTGTATTGCAACGTAGGTATCGTGTGATGTTGCCGTTCTTCTCCTTCCAAACGGTTACAACAGTTCAAACTAAAAAGAGATTCTTCTATCCCGTTCGTTTTTAATTTCTTGCGCGATTTGATCTGATGTGCTTGACTCGGGTACTCACGGCACTTCGCGTGCGCACGCAGGTAAACTTGATTTACCTGTCGCGTTTAGTGCGCTACCTTCGAGCTTAACTTTACCATTCACCAAGAGCGCGTTACTGCGCGGCCGTGTGTTGCAGACTAGAGAAACCGTTAAAAACGTGCGGCCCCCCACTCAACGTTGTCGGTGAGAATGCGTGCAACTCGCGTGGAGTTATCACAAAACCACGCGAACCGACACGGACATGGCGCACCGCGCACCGCGAGGATTATTGTCTGTATGCTTCCACCTTCGGCGCGGTTTTGAATCGGTGTGCGACGAGCGCAGAGCTCTGACGCGAACGACCATTCGTACTGCGCGCTCGCGCTTCCTGGGCGCATCCGTTCCGGGCGACCTTTCGTCGACTAGTTGCAGAGGGCTGCTTGTTTCTTTGCCACTAACGCCGGCGGCTCGACCTGGCGCGCACCGGTTTGGAACGAACTCGAGTGAAATCCAGAAAGAAAATTCAAACTATTCAACGCACAGACAAGGGGTTTAACCTGTAAGCGTGCACATATGCGCTACGTTCGTATTACATCGGAATCACTCGAACATTATCGACCGGCACAGCTTAGATTTGAATGGTTTGCCCTAATCCTATACTATTCGGAAAAGTCAAGTGGAAAACGTGCACTGTTCCTACAGTGAATCAGCTGAAAGAATATTCAATCAACCACCACTCCCTGAATTTGTGGTTACAAATCAGGCGATGTTTGTAATTTTAATATTCAAGTGCTATTATTATTACTGAACTGACAGATAAAACACATTCCACGCGAGTTGTAACCAAGGTATATCCGGCTAGTCAGTTTAATTCCCTTCACGCAGATAACGATTGCGCCAGCAGCGCGTAATGAGTGTAATACTCACAAATGTAATGTTAATTACAACGCGAAGTGGCACTCTCAACAAAAACATCAATTATACGAGGCGATAAGTGAGGGTTTCCAGGGGCAATGTAATTTGCGCTTGATCTGGTGCAACGTGTCTGACGTATATCAGTAGTGTGAGAGATCCGTTCGATAACATGACGACGCAGAGGCATTTTGCGGTGTTCTCCGGCGCCGCTGCATCGGCAGCCAGTTTGTTCGGCAAGCTAACTGGGTTGCCGCAATTCGAGGTCAGTTCTGCTTCGTAAATTGCGCAAATAGTTTCCAGGTTTCCACTTAGAAACTTAGAGTAACTACTCTCATTCAAACTACGTATAATTATGTTCTCTTTTGTACCTCTGAAATGGCAACTTTAAAGGGAATTCTCAATCAGGACTTGTGAAATTGCAGGAAATCATTATAATTAGATTGGTGTGCTTTGCGCTGATGGTTCTTGCAAACGGGATGGTGTGGACTTTCTATGTGAAGGCGTTACACGTCTCTCAGTCCTCCCTTTCGGCGACTGTGATCAGCGCCGCCACTAATTACTTATTATCGGTAATTATTACTTCATTGCGTTCTAACACCCATTTGCTTATTTGCTTTGCTTCCTATGTTGCATAGGATATTACTCACTCAAATTTGCTTACACTTTACAGGCGATCTATGGATTGGTGATCTTCAGAGAAGTTACTAGTTTGTTTTGGTGGACTGGCGCTGGCTTAATTCTACTCGGATTGATTCTGATAATACGAAGCCAAGACCGTGAGGAATTGAAGCGCACCGTAGATGCATCGGGCGAAAATAATTACTCTGCACTGCCGGAAAAAGCAAAACTTCGGTAATCCCATTACAAGTTTTAATTGAAACGTTAATTTTTTATGATTGAATAATTATTCAAATTAAAAATGTTTGTAACAACATTCATTTATCATTAAGTGAAGTCTGAAAAGACAAAATAGAAGTAAATTATATAGGCTTTCCTAGAATTTCGTAAGTTATTTTAAATACCTAATTTATGGACACTGATGACTTATTTGAAGTTGTTATAATATTACCATTTAAACATTTTTAACAAGGTCTTCATGCAGACGATCGATATAATCAAATATAGATTCCAGCATTACCTCCGCCTCCTGTTGTGTAACTCCATAAAGTTTATCTATTGACAAACCTAATTGAAATCGGTCATCATATGTGAATATCGAAATGCTGACTCCTGAAATTACTACCATTATTACTTAAGCTTGCCTTTAATTAAAAAATTCAACTATATTCATTAGATATCATTAGATATAGTTGAGGACATATAATATTCAAGCTACCCGACCTGTTAGACCACGCTGAGGCACCCAAAATACAATATCCTCCACGAAGCTTTCACAGTCTCCTTCATCCAAATAAATGCGTTTTGGACCTGGCAAATTACTGATAACTAACGTGCTTAGACGGAAGGATTCTCTTAATAGCAATTTCATTATATTACGGGGCACGACGCCCATGACGATTTCCATTAACCAGTAGTTTATTTGAAACTCGAAACTCGAACGCAAATTGTACAAATTTGCGATTGTTTGCGCACATCTCCAGTAACAGCTTCGATTATCTTCGATACCGATGACTGCGTGCACGGGCAATTTCAAAATACCAACAGAAAATCGATTAGTTAGCACGTTTTCGCTAGCGTTTATGTTTACGATGCTTGCAGTGTGTGGAAGCGCGGGTATTACAACATTTACATGTTCCACATTTCTGTTCTAAAAATGAACAATCGTATAGTTTTTTAATTACTGAATATTCTATTATCTATACTTTCTTTGTGAAAAATTTGTTTAATGAATAACTAACACTTGCAGCGATAATATCGATAAATGCGGCACCAATTCGTCGTTTTATTTCTTTCACACGATTGACATACTTGTACCCTTTTTCTACCTTCCAGGCGACAATTTTAACACCGGAAAGGGAAGATTGCATACCAGGATGATGTAAGCAATTATTATCAGCCCTTTTTGATAAAAGCTCAATGATTATTTGTGGGAGCTTATAAAATAGGTGCATCGAATGCATGATACGTATTGTGATCTTTACCATTCTCTGTGCAAAATCATTATCGCTGTCGTGCTCTTTGGGCTGCTTTGTTTGCAGTCGTGGTTTTAATTTTACGCCGGTTGTACTCGTATTCGCCGGACTGAAACTTTTTTGTATGAGCTGCAACAGGGCATGCCCATCTCCTAGTACATGATGAAAGCGTACAATTAGTGGATAACAATTTCTTTTGTTTCCCCATGCTATTTTCTCGGCACCAATATACGCTTCCCACAAATTCCCACCACCAATTTCAATTGATGCGAAATCACTTAGCGATGCTTGCAGAACCTCCCGATTTGCATAAAAAGCTGAATCTAGTTTGTGCACACATGGAGCGCCGCCATTCACATCCTGATTTGTTAGTAAATACGTGTATCCCATGCAGGATGAATAGCCGCATTTCAACTTCCACAATTTTGGATCGTCCCTTAATACTTGCAACTTTTTAATTACTAGTCGTGAAAACAATTCTGCACTCTCGTGACGCACAACTAGTAAGATATTTACCACACTTGTGGAATAATCCTCCAGGGTCCATAGAGTGTCCGGACCGCTTAATAAACCCTTAAATTTATCTTTGTGGCGAAGTCGCAACCACACGATAACTGCTGATTTGAATGTCCAGCAAATTGCCCCTAAAATGGTCAGCAACGGAAGCAGGATTGTCGTTATAATTATATATCCGTTTAGCTGAACCAGCATAGGAAGTTGTGACACACAATCCGGACGAAATTTTGACTGCAACATATAAAATTACGATAAAGATATGAGGAATGATGACAAAAGTAAGGTTTTTACTGTTTTTGCATTTCGAAAACTGTTTACGAGCGGCAATAAAACCACCGTTGAGACCAGAATAAATCCATGTGGAAAATCACTGTGGTCGTTGTGACTGTCGAATAAATCTGAGGTTTTATTTGTAATATTTATTTGTTTCACTATGAAATTCATCATTTTGGATGATTAGGGGCACTAACGGTATATCTAGGAACTGCCAAAAGTGTGATGAGTATGTTCGTTCAGTTTATGCTTTTATTGAGGATAAAGACAATAATTCAATTACTCACTAACACAGATATTGAAAAGTGAAGCCATAGAATTAGAGCTGGAGTGCCCTTGAACCGACATTTTCAATTGTGTTGCAAATGCATTTTTAATTTGATGTTGAAGTTGCAACCGATTCTAGATTTTCATCTAAAATGTCAATATATTTGAAAATGTTTTCAAGTAGTTGGTCCACATCTTTTCTATTGGGTATCACGGATTGATAGCATTGACACCCAATTCTTAATGAACCATCAAAAGGAAAGAGAGTAAATAGTATGGGAGCAAAATTATCCATATTGCTTCCCCAAACCATAGCATCCGTTACAGCGTACCCATTTTTAGTTTGACAAGTGTTTAGTCCAAAGAGATTGGTGACTCCAAGTGAACAACCAGAAGTTAAATTTAAAGCTTGCTTTCGTAGAAAATCTGGTGCAAGGTCAGAAAATGTATTGCATGCAAAGTTTGTGCTCTATAAAACAATGTCACAGTATTACTAACATATAACAGTGCACAATTAGTGCAATAAATACTTGTATGGCTGTAGAATTCTCCACTCGTTTACTTTCATCCACAATGTCCTGAAGTAGTTCGTGTAGATTTTGATGGTTCGTATGAGAGTACATAGAAAGTTTCTTCAGGCAAATTTGAAGATTATTGTTTAAAGCAATTGTTGGCTGGTTCAAGTTGTTGATGTAAACCAGAGATTCAAAGTGGGCAGGTTTAGTAAAGAATACATCTATTGTTAACATATGGTTAGGAGGTAGCTGAAATTAGTAAAGAAAATTATAAAAGATATACTTTTTCCTTATTATTTCCTTATTAGTCGTCTTACCAAGTTAGATATTTTGCAGGATTATTATTTTTAACTTACCTTATTTTGGTTTTTAAAATATTCAGCAATACTTGCGGACATTGCAGTTTTGATTACGTCTAAAAAAGTTGTATTTGGATATTTTCCTTTGATACGTTTAATTTTTTTAATAGCATTATTTTCTGGTTTTTCCGCTACCCAACACACATATTTTTTCGGAAAAAATGGTTTTCCATATCTAAACAAATGTTCAGTTTCAGAATTAAACCATTCATTGTAAACAAATTCTTTTTTAAATAATTAGAAACCAATTCTATGGATAGCATGATATGCTTATAAAATGAAACTTTTGAATCATTTTTTATAAACTTGCTGTTTCTAAACATAGCCTCAAGTTCCTTGCATTTTTTCTTTGATTATTTACCCCGTCTTTCATAAAACAGGTATTTATAAAAACAAGCATTGACATCCCATCTGTAACACAGTGGTGAAATCTCAAAACAACGGGAATCTTTGATTCCACATCATGTGGCATGCAAAAGATTGGTGTTTTTCCGATATAAACTTTCCATAACATATTATTTGGCAGGTTCGAAATAAATATCGCTTCTAGCTTTTCATGAAATTCCTCTCTGTTTGAATAATCTTCAATATATTCAATTCCATCTTCTACCTTGATATTGGTTTCAAGTAGATAATTATAATTGAAACATTTGCGTAGCATACATCTTAGCCGAGGATGCGACTTTAATACTTCCTTGAAAGTCTCTGTGTAGTGCTTTTTTAACTCTTCAGCTGTTTCAGGTGTTTTATGTTCGTGTAGTAAGAGAGCAGTTTCTATTACTTGTTCATCTGTGCAATTTATTTTATCGAAACCGCTCATTAAGTTGCAACGTTCACCATATTTCAATTTTAAATATGTATAAACAATATCATGAACCAAAGCAAAAGTAAACAGAAAGAGTTGACCAACTATTCCAAGTATTAAAAACGCCACAAGCTGCAATAGCGTTAATAATAGCTTTACTGGTAATGAATAAGTTCCTTTATTTGGATCTACTCTCTGAAATTTAAAATTAAATAATTTATTGTAAAACACGACACAACGATTTAAAATACTCACCAAACAAAATTGAAGAAACCAAATGCATTGAAGACAGTTTTCTGTAATTAGAAAGTAATAAATTAGATAAGAACCATGTTATTTTTTAAACATTGATAGACCTAACGAAAAATAAGCTTGTAATCCCTTTGACACAATCATCTTAAATTTTGCTTACACCGGTTCACAAGTTCAGTATTCAATGATTTTACTGGATTGTGGCAAAAGTGAAAAACTATTTTAACATAGAATAAATAGGTACAAAATTTAACAATTTGTATTTTAACAATTAAGACTTTACAAACTAAATTGCTAGAATCATAATACTAACAATAGTAATTATACAGTAAGTTATTCCTACTTTGTCAATTATCGTGTTGACGTCAGTATTTTAGTTCTATGATTGTTCGTTTTATTACAATGTTTCTCACATTAAAAAATATCATAATATGATTAATTGTGATGTGTAATTACGTCAGAGCAATGTTTATTTGGCATACTTCTGCAAATAAAATAATTTGTTCATTCTATAATTTTACGATTAATGGCTTTATCATGCAAAATTTTTATATAACGCAAAATATTATCTGAAAGTTTTTGTATATCATTAATATTTTCAATGAGATTTTTATCCACATGCACAGTTACACGCATCATATTGTCATAAGTGAAAAGCGTAATAGTGACTCCGGTTCGATTAAAGTTGTTGGTCCACACGAACATATTTTCCACTTTACAATCGTTGCGATAACTAAGTGACATTACCCCAGGTACATTTGTAATTATTGTCGTGCAGTCAAAAAATTCCGAGACCAAAAGCGCAAATGGTTTTGGTACCACTGTTGCAAAAATATTGAAGAGCCAATACATCAACTAAAATAAAATAATTTGCGAAACATATTCAAGTAATCGAATAAAAACACAATCCAATAAACTTACAGAAAAATCCATGCTGTTCTTCAAATTTTGAGTGTGTGCATGTAATTCATCGATGATTTGAATAGGATTTGCTAATAGTTTGATATCCGTGGGTAGCTGAATAAATCCCAGTGTAAACTTATTTCCTAATTGAGTAACTGGGTCGCCATTTGAGTTAACTGTTACCAGTGTTTCTAATTCAGCTGTTTTCAAGAAATAAGGATTACTAGATAAAATCTGTTTTGGTGGACATTTGTCAAATTTGTTGTAGTATTCTGTAAAAGCAGCACTTATTGCACTTAAAATGACATCACCAAATGAAACGTTCAAAGCTCGTTTGGTTTTTTTGATTTTTTCCAACAAATGATCATCTTCGCTTTCGAGGCTGAAACACACAACTTTCTCGCCTGACAACTGCCTGTGTAGTATATTAGATTGTTCTTTATAGCGCAACATATCATAATGGTAGAAAATATCTTTGTTCAGAATACTTTTACACTTGTTGATAAACTTGGTTAAATTAAAACCCTCTCTTGGTTTACTTTTATCAATAGAGAAGCACTTGTTATATCGGTCACACTCCGATTTGTATCGTTCCATTCCATTTTTTGAGTATGTTGTCATCATAAACATGGACAATGCAATTCCATCAGTAATACTATGATGATAACGTGTCACTAAAGGAATTTGCCATTTGCCGATTTCCAATTGAATTGGTTTTTTGCCAATGAGGACTTCCCACATGAATTCGTCGTTGTATGGTAATCCTCTTGTGGTTGTCTTATTGATAAGCATATTAAACTCTTGCAAAGTGTTGTAATCTTCAAAATATCTAACTACTTTTGTGTAATTCACTTTTATTTTGACGTAGAAACTGTATCCAAGAAAATATTTTTGTACACATGACAACCGTGGATGATTCTTTAATATAGTTGCTTGAAACTCTGGATCTGTGAATAAGTGTTTCATTTTTTCAGGTGTATTTGGAGAGTTTTCGAAAAGATACATAACTTGAATAATACTCTTGCATTCTCTTGAGTTGCTTGTCCATGTTGCATCAGCCCCAACAAAAACGTCGTAGTACGCATCTCGAAACTTTATTTTTGCTAAAAGCTTGACGAGCTCAAAGTAGCAAGCACACAAAAGAATAAACAAAGTCAATAGACAGACTCCGATAATTGTTAAGGTGATTCTAAGAAGAAATATTGACATTTGTATAACATGATTACTATTCGTTGGAATTGGAATCGCCAGCTACGAATAAAAGACATAAATCTGTGAAATAGTTCAAACATTTGCCAAAACTTACTTTTATAAGCGCGTAGGTCAGCAGAGGAATTGTAAGTGATTCTAAATATTATATAAATGATACAATATACTTCAATAATAATATAATAATAGGTACTACTTACCAACACAGTATAAACTTTTGAATCCGTTGACCATCTTGATAAATTCGGTGTAATTCGAGACTTGTAACTGTGTCTAATATTAGCGCATCTAGAGTGGTCGAGTATAAATTGTATTTTAAATAGTGTACAAATACGCCAATTATCTTTTAGCAATTTTCTGTAATCAAACCGGAATTAAATTTTGATGCGCTAGTTTCTGTCATCAAAATTAATATCATTTCAACCGCTAGTAATTATGCGTGACTGTTAGTGCAGAGTGCACTTTATAAATAGTCGGACGGAATTTTTAAAAGTATGTACACCTTTCACATCAACAATCACGATGTGCACTGACGAACAATTCTTTGATGACTGATTGTAAACATTTCATTAACGCGTATAATAACTTACCGATTGGAATGCATAGTGAGATTTGGGAGTTTTGGTATAAACAATACTTTTATGAGTGCCCAAACAAAAATTATGAATGTTAAACGTGGGACTATTTTTTATTCAATTTATGAAACAGGTATACTCAGAAACAATTGGGATATCTTTACAAGGTTTGTTATAATTTGAAGTTTTCGCATTATTTGCCATTTGCATGTACGTCAGAACATAAATTCAGATGTAGTTGGACAGATAAGATGGTAATCAATTTTTTGTTAAGTTGTTAATTATTATGTAAGATATGTTTATTTAATGGTGTGGTTATTTTAAGATTAATGAAAGGTAAAGGTTATCCGCATGACGTTTAATATGTTGGGAATATCTGTTGTAAATAGCATTAAATCATGTGTGGTGGATGCGTTTACAAAAAAAAATTCTTTACGTCCAGCAAATAACAATAAATTTTTTTTTTTAATTAAATAGAAAAAATATAAAATAAAACGGTTCTGGTATTAGCGGGAAAAGTTGTTAAAAAATTGAAGGTTTTTTTGACAAAAAAAAATAAATGACAATCTTCGTAAAAATCACAATGTCCACTTTTTCGAAAGATTCATTCAAAAATAAAAATTATCCGGGAAATTTTGGGAAAAGTTATGGCTATTTGAAAATTAAAATGCCACCATCGCTTAAAGATTAAAAAAGTACTAGATTTTTAGGTTTTATATATTGGTGTAAGCTAATATCAAAGTGGTAAAAACAAAAACAAAAATATTCACTATGACTGTAAGTTGTGATAAATTTTATGAACGTATTTCGAAATGCTTTTGCAAATTTCATCCACATGTTCATCGGCGGGCAAAAACTGTTTGTCAACGGTAAAGGTAAAGTTCATGCGATTTTCGAATATTAACAGGGTCACTGACGAGCGAAGTTTTTTCACATGAGCTGCCGAGCCAAATACATCAATGACACGATGACCACCGTGCAGTGTCGGTGGTTGCACTGCCGGGATGTTCGAAACTGCAGTTGTACAGTCGTACCCTTCAGTAAGTCGTTGAAACAGTGATTGAGGTATTAGTGTACCAAACGCGTTGCCAGCCCAATGAAGAAACTACAAAGAATGGCATATATTAAAACAGTTCATTTTTTAGTAGAATTTGAGTACTTTTAAATCAAGTGCGTCTTGGACCGATTTACTTTCTTTATTTGCAGCTAGGATAAATTTTTCTGGGTTGTCAAGAAACTGTTTTTTCAGCGGCAGTCTAATCAATGCAGCTGTTGTTTTATTTCCTAGTTCTATAAGAGAATATCCATCTTGCACCGATATGAATTTTTTTAATTCTGGAAGTGTTGGATTCAGTATGGTAAAAAACGGTGGAAAATCCTGAAAACATTAATTCATTTCAAAATTGAAATTAATTTAAAAATTTGATGATAATTACCAAATTGTGAATAACGAAATATTCAGTTATAGCTGCAGCTACTGCTCCATTGATAATGTCTGAAAACGTAACCTTTAATTTGAATCTGATAAATTTGATCATTGCAATAATTTCGCCCGGTGTGGATTCTAAAGAAACACCAATAAGTTTATCGCATCCACTTGGGTTTTCAGTATGTAATGGAGACGTTGGCTCATTATGCAGATTTACTTTATGATGATAATATACTCCACTATCCCATAATTTCCTGACATGTTTTATAATATTTTGTACAAAATTTAATTTCGAGTCGAATGGTTTCAACGTGGAAAGAATATTATGAAACGCTTTTATATTTTGCATGCCATCGGTTGCGTAATGGCACTGAATAAATGTAATCAATGTCACACCATCCATACAAGTATGATGAATCCGAAATGCAACAGGATATCCCCATTTACCTGTAGCCGTTTCGATAAGTTGTTTGCCACAGCAAATTTCCCACATGAATTTATTATCATACGGCAAAGGCGCACTCACAAGCTTATTAAGAACGTGCCGGAATTCTGCATTGTCTTGATAATCATCCATATAGTTGATAAGTCGTTCAATGTCTAAGTGTTCCTTATGGACGTAATGCAAATAACCCATAAAACTTTCTCTTGTACATGATAAAAGTGGATAATGTGGTAAAACATTATTTATGGTTTGTTCTCGGAGCATTTGAAGTAGTTTGGCCGGTGTATCTGGACCTGAATCTTCAACTGTTAGCATAGCATGAATCACGGTGTTGCCACACTCGTTATCATACGAAAAAAGAGCATCTTTACCCTTGCAATATCCTACATAGTTAGGATCAAATTTAAAAGCGGCACAGCTTCTAGCAATTTCAAAGTAGTAGCCCATACAAATAACAAAACACGCGACAGGTATGCATAAGAATAAAGATAGACACAAACGAAATATAAATAGGATTATTTTGGTCACAGGTTCTTGATTTGAAGATACTTGGAATATTTGCTAAAATTAAAAATTTATTTAATATTTAAATTGTTATTGTTATGTTAATCTTACCTTAATGCTTCCATATATAAACACTGGCAAAAGAAGTGTTTCTTTGCAACAAAGAAGTCGAAACCCTTCAAGCATTTTAGTCAAGTTACTTGTTCAAAAGTTCATATTAAAACAGCTCAAATGGTTCACTTTCGTCATTTTATGTTTTTATTTTATTGAATATGTTAGTAAATTTGACATACGTATGTGAAAATGATACATGGTAATATGGATGTCATAAGACTCTTTTAACCATTTTTATATAAGAACTAGATTTTTGCCTACAACTTTATTTGCGTAATTAGAAAAAAGTGGCACAAGTTATTAATGCCTTTTTATGGCATGTGTATATATACATTCTTCTTTAAACATCAAAAGAAGTACTTTATGAATTTGGAAATTATTCATGAAAAAAGCTGTTCGAAGTTCACTGGTTAAGCTAGATTTCTGGCGGACCGATAAATTTCTATAACAAATCATTGAAATGCTCTGTACGTCTAAAACTAGCTTTGTATTACTCGGTATTACAAAAGATGAGCTACCCACTTAATATTATAATAGACATTCGTGTTTTATTGAAAACAGACTTATTCTAATTAAACTAAATTTTTAATGCAGAATATCTATTTACAAACACTCTGCATTGTTAAAAAAATAATGCTTCATTTTGTGGGCATAGTAGCAATAAAATATCTCTAGTAGTTTAAGCAAACAAGTCATAATCGATATTAATTGTTTAATATTTATATTTGTTTTAGAATACGTTAACATTTATTCAGTTTCAGACGATACTCTCGAGAAGAAACGGATCAACCCAACTCAAAAACTTGTAATCCAAATAAATCACATATGAATAAAGTATAATTTTAAACCTTTCTAGTGCGCTCTTAAATCTCAGTGAGGCTAAGCGCGCCCTCTGCCCAAATGAGGAGAACATATACAATCGCAACCGCGTCAAAACAGCTGTCTTTATGGTCAACTGCGAACCAGCATTCTGCCGAAAGGGGAAGCCAGACTGACAGTACGTTCGGATCAGCTGTTGAGCTGAAAGAAGCGTGTCTTTGCTTCGATTCGTGCGTGAAGTTCGAAGACATAATTATTCCATGGCAATGCTTGTGGGTCGATTCTGAGCAGCACCGAAGAAATTTCTTAGTACGAACCGATTACGACAAAAGTTTTTCGCTCAACTAGCTAATGTTAGTAACTGGTAAAACTACTAGAATGGCTTTGACGACATTCCATGGGAGTAATGGGTAATGTATGAGTATTGTATGAGTATTCTATCTTTTATTGTGTTCGTTATCATATAGTTCAAAATCAAATGTTTAGCTAATGTTTTACTATTGTTGCAATTACTATCTATAACGATTCATATATTTTATCAATATATTTAAAGAAGTTCTCACAAATCTCTTGACCATTATCTTCATTCTTTAGGAATTGTTCATCCACATGTAGAGTAATGCGTAGACGATTATTAAACGTATAAATTCCAATGCAAACACCTATTTGTTTGTAGTGAATAGACCAAGCCCATGCATCAACAAGTTTACTGCCATTGGAGAAGACCAAATCTCCTGTTCCAGGCACATTGGTTGTTATTGTTGTGCAATCAAACAAGTCTAAAATTGGACTAGCCAAGGCTTGAGGCACAATAGTGCAGTTAATGTTCAGTATCCAATAAAAAAACTGAAATGAAAATTTTTAATACTTAAAAAGCGCTCGAATAATATTTTACCAGCATATCTAAAGCTTTTCTGAGTGATGTTGATTGTTGGTATAGCGCATGGACAAATTGTTTGGGATCGTTTAAAAATTCTGCATTAAGTGGAATTTTTGAATGACCCACTGTAAATTTATTGCCAAGATTTGTGATGGGTTGGTTGTCATGCATTTGAACCAAATCGTTAAAATCAATGCCCTTTAAGAAAAAGGTAGTTCCAGTTGAAATAAATGACGGATGTGTCTAGAAAATACTTCAAATTATTTTAAAGAGTTTATAATGATAAACAATTGGTTTACTAGATCATGTGTTGCATAATATTCTGTAAGACTTGCTGCAACAGCTCCCAACACAACATCGGAATGCGAAACGTTTAAATGCTTCTTGATCTCTTTAATTTTGCCGAAGTATTTCCCATCAGGACCTTCCAGTTTTAATTTTAATAGTTTTTTAGTACTAATTGGACCATGGTGTAAAACATTTTCTGGCTCAACGTGTTGTAGTACATTGTGATGGAAGTACACATTTTTATTCCATATTCTGTCCCATAAACTTGATTTCTTTTCAACATGTTCGTTCCTTTGTTTTTGAATGTATGCTTCTTGTTTAAACATTTTCAGTAAGTCATTAAACATATCTTTTGTAACATTATATCCATTATTCACGTATGAAGTACATATGAATGCAGTCATAGTCACCCCATCCATTATTGAATGATGAGAACGAGTAATAACAGGATAAACAAAACGTCCTGGTTCAACTTCTATTAGTGTTTTACCAAAGCATATTTGCATCATATATTTCCCACCACATGGCATTGATTTACTGCTTAATTCGGTTACAATTGAATGGAATTCATTGTAATTTTGGTAATCATCCAAATAAACGAAAATTTCGTCAATATCCACGTTTTCTTTGATAAAATAAAAATAGCCCATAAAACTTTCGCGGATACATCCAAATCGTGGATGCGTTTTGATAACTTCGACGTGTTTTGCACGGAAAAAATTATAGATTCTTTCTGGAGTATCAGGTCCTTGGTCTTCGAATAAGCTGACCTGTGTGATGACACTACTACCAATGCGTTGATCGTACGACCACACTGCATCGGCACCAAGAAAATGCTCAACGTACCGATTACTATACTTTAATTTCGCTAGAATTCTAGCGATTTCAAAATAACATGCACATAAGCACAGCACTGTAAACAATGGCCCCGTGAGTATAAGAGCAAGAAGTGGTCTAACAACATTTACAACTATTTTCTTTAGGTCACCATCGCTTTCAGCAGATGGTAATAACAACTAAAAAATACATAAGTATACGTTTATAAGTTTAAAAGTCATTAATAAATTATATTATATAATTACCTTAATCAATCCGTAAAGAAATACAGGTATCAATAAAGATTCTTGACATATTACCGATTTAATACCAACCAGCATTTTGCAAATTACTTCAATTACAAGCAATTAAAAATAAAGTTAAAAACATGTTTTTGAGTTTTATGCTACTGTCATCAAAAGAGGCTATTATAAAATCATAATTAATATTTGCCCATCAATTAACATCGGCTCATACGATTTAAACTTAGGTTGCATAACCGTTGTATTATTTATAACGTGTACTTGCAAATTCAACACATTCTACCATAAAAAATGTTTGCGCAGTATCTACTTTTAACTTTTTCGAAATATTTCTTGCACAATTATGTTGTCGAAAATATTATTATACAAATTACATGTAAAACCAATATTTACAACTTTTCATAAATCTGATCAACAAAATCGAAAATATTATTGCTAAATATTTTTTGTTGTTCAAAATTTATGCAATTTTTATCCATCATTGTGGATACGTGAAAATTGTTATTGTATGAGAATATACTAATGCAAGTGGAGACATCATAGCAATGAACAGAAGAAAGCATCATGTCAACGATGTCGTGGTCAATAATTCTAACAGCAGTCAGCGGCGGTAAATTTGTGACCAACGTTGATGGACGGTATAAATTGTGAAGCGGAATCACAATAGGTAGTGGTACAATTGATACTATTTTATGCACCATCCAAAACATATACTGAAACATACATAATTAAATAAGTTCGTAAATTAGTTATGTATTTTAAAATAATCATACCTGGAAATCCACAGAGTGTTTCAAGTACTTAGTAATTTTATGTTGTTCGGTAATAAACATCTTTGGGTCCTTTAGATATTCTTCTTTTATGGGTAAAGATATCATTCCAATGGTGAATTTATTGCCTAACTTGGTTACTGGTTCTTTTAATGCATTAAAACTAAGCAGATCATTGAAATTGTTTGCATTTAAGTTGTATGGATTGAGCGTGACGATAGTAGGAGGACAGACCTTAGTATCATCCAAGAAATTAATTGCGATAAGTTATTATGTTTTATAGCTTACCTGTTTGTTTTGTAGAAAATGTTTGGTAAAACTTGCAGCTATTACACCCAAAATTACATCATTAAATGACACATTCAATTTGTTTTTAATTTCCTTCACTTTTTCAACAAATTGTTTATTTTGATCAATTCCTACCATGTGCAAAGATATATCACCACTGGGTTCATTGTGCCATGAATATTTTACTTCAGCATCCCTTAAGAAGTCAAACCCAAAATAGAACTCTTTGTTCCAAATGTAGTTTATAAATGTTAACAAAGATTTCATAAAATCATCAATGACATTATACATTCTTTTTGGTGATTTCTTCGAGGTACCGCGCATTTGCAGTTTCTTCAAGTTATCACATAGAACTCGAATATTTTCACATCCATTTTCAGCGTAATTTGTCATTAGCAATGTCATTAATGTCACACCATCCCCAAGTGAATGATGTAAACGAAACAACAACGGAATACAATTCTTGTCTTGCACTTTTACCGATTTCTTGCCAATGGTAATTTCCCATAAAAATGTATTATTCAATGGCAAAACACTTCCAATTTTTTCATTCAAAATATTTTGGAAATCATCGTCACTTTTATAATCGTCAAAATATGTAATAAAATCTAATCCAATAGGCGGAGATCTTAGAAAGAAGATGTAACACAAAAATTTCTTTTGTATGCATCGTAATCTTGGATGATTTGTTTGTGCTTTTAATGAGGCAGATTTTATATGTTCCATTAAAAGATGGGCTGAATCCGCGTATTTTTCTTCGATATAGTAGACAGCTGGAATTATCCCTTTTCCTATTCTATGATCATCGGAGTACATTGCATCGCCGCCAGTTGCAAAATCCACAAAATCACCGCGAAAATATAGTTTTGCAATAAAACGTACAACATCAGCTAGTATTGAAAATAACAAAAATGCCACCAATAGTAGTGGTGTAACAACTAACGTAAATAGCAGTCGTAATAGTGCAACGAAGATAATTTTTGTTATGTGGTCATCATTTGATAGTCTGAACACTAGCTAAAAATATTATAGTTTATTATACCAATTAAATAAATATTACTTACTATATTACTTTAGCTCCACAATATGTATACAGCGGAACTAAAAGAGTATCTATAATTTCATTAGAATTATATTATTACAAATCGATTTTATTTATTCCAAAGTATGCAAAATACTTACCGACACTTAGGAAACAGCGCAAGCCTTCAAACATTTCGAATGATTCGCACGGCAAAACTGCGAATGCAATTGTCACTACAGTACCACAAGAACTGCAATCAAGTGCAACAAGTGTTTTTGATGCAGCTCTAAAATCTCATTTGCCTTGAAGCGACCAAAACATTCCGCTCGATCCGAATTAAGCTTGTTGTACTCTTTTGGATATTTTTGTTTTGGTTTATTGATGTTTTTTGTGCGTTCTGAAGACTGTTTCTTGCTGTTACCTACTATCCTTGCTAAGATTCCGCTGGATCTCAGAAGTCATGCGATACTACGTCACACTAAAACGTTACCTGACATTTAGAACAATTTTTTGAATTTAAATGTTTATTATATTTTAATGTATGTTTACAAATTCACTTGACCTGCTTTATTTCACATTATCAGTAATTAACTTTATGAGCAAAAACGTTCCTGATCACTCAAAGGATTTAGAAGGTAGTTTTTACAAGCGTCTGCGTTTACGGAGAAACAACAATAATATTTAAGTTTGCTTTTGCTTCTAAAGATTGTTTCATTAGTGATATGCAATTTTCCCCACTCGGTTGAATTGTAAATGTCTCGCGATTTACTTCTGCATTTAACATTAAATATCAGACATTATAAAAAGTGACAATACACGAATTTCCTCAAGGTTATTTTTATTCAAACGTTAGATAATTTATCTATAGTCATTATTAAAGATGATTTAAATCTTTTATATTCGCATCAATTGTAAGTAATAATATATTAATTCTAGCATTCTAGCATTCAATATTAATCTACTGCAATCTTGGTTGTGCTCTATAAACTTATTTGCAATTTGTGATTTATATTCAAAATTACGTAAGTATATCAGCACACCCATACTCAATATTCACTTTTGTAGGCAAATATGCTCATGTGGTTTTCACGTGATATTGAAGAAAATTGCCATCTTTTAAACTGTCAAAAGGTATTTATTTAGAATAGTTTAATCTACTATATTACGAGGTAGGACATGGAAATATAGTTTTTTCATTCACTACTACTACTACTCAATAATACTTGGGTTGTGGTGAAAAATTTTGTGCAACATTTTAACTTATAAATGGAGCTTTAACTCAGTTAAAACTTTGTCTCGTGAATAAAACTCGTGAGTAAAGTATATTATTCACAGCCTAGATCGTTCATGTTTAAAGTACCACTTTTTGTGTCTAAAACCATGGAAAAACTAGCGCTTTAAAGGTGGAAGTAGAAAAAATATTTTTATGGTCATTAGACCAACAATTCCAATTGATACTTTATTAATAACGAAACGGTATCTTCACACTGCACTGCGTTTTTGAATTGTGTGTCGTCTGAATTTCTACTCACTTGCTCAAATTTATTTCCAAAGTTTTAAATTTGTCATTACCCGTTAAGAAATATTTATACTCTCATAGAATCATGCAATATAATAGTTAATGAATAATTTACCTCATATACCTATATTTTAATCGTGTTTACTAATATCTTATTTTTTAATACAATTATCACTTCACTATATCCTTAAAACATCTCACTCAGACTAAATTAGATGAGATGGTGAATGTGTTTAAATGGTAAATATTAAGAAATAAAAAAATGCTTCATTATTATTTTATTAATTTATTGAATACTTATCGAAACAAGAAAATAAGTTAAGATTGTAAATAAATCTACATTTAGTATCGTATTTGTCGTCATCAGACAAATTATAGCTTTTGATCATAATATAACAAAATAATGTTTACATAAATAGATAGTCTCTTTGGCGATTCTTGTCTCGCTCAACAAGCACACCTTTAAATGCAACTACTCTGATTTACAAACTATGATAAATTCAGATATTAATATTCTTGTCTTTTAATATAACATAAAATGTTAACCCAAGCAAAACTTGCGGTACCAATATAAATCACCCTAAATGCAGGTGGAACCAAAAGGAAGTTCACTGTCTGCACAGGCAACCAAAACATACAACTATTTTTAAATGTTTGTTCAAATTTAGTACGGAATTCAAGGAATATATCTGATTTTCCTTCCATTATACTCATCGCTGCAAAATAAAAATTATCCATAACAAATTTATAAACCTTTATGTTTGTATCTCTTACATGTATAAAATATGAACAGTAATGGCGGTACAGAGATGAATTGGTCCACAAATAACTTTTTGCCGACGACTTTCAATGCAGTACCGACGAATTTAGAGTCTAGCCATTTATACCTGCAATTGAAATTTAAACGATGTATATTCGGTTGCATACATTACAACAAACTATCTTTTAAACAGACGTGGCATTGTACTAAGTAACTTCCAACACCAGTGAATATATTCAGTTTATTACACATGAGCATAATAGAATAATTTACCAAACGGTTAATAGGGGACCTTGAATTGCGGTTCCATAGAATGCGTAGCGCGCTAGCGTCGGTTGGTCGAGGTTCGTTGGCTTGTCCACCTAGAAACATTAAAATTTATTGCAGTTTACAAAGCAAATGATTATAGCAAAGCAGAAAATAAATTGAAGAAAACAATGTCAAATACTTACGAGATATTTTTTCGTTAAAATTTGTTGCGAGCATTCTGCACCAAAGAATAGGGTACCATAGATGATTCCATTCGAAATGATTGGATGTTTAGTGAAATTCACTCGTATAAAATTGACTAGTTTAGACATTTTTGATAAACCACCACAAATGAAACAATTATATTATCTTTAACGTGAAGTTTTATTTTTGGCTTGTAGGAGTTTTACGGAATAATACATTTACAGTATTATTTGAGATGGAATAAGTTGGATTACAATGTATGCTGCTTGTAGCTTCACAAAACTCACGGAACGCACATATCTAGTTTACCAACAGGTCTATTCCGTTAACAATTTTATCGTGCACAGATTATTAGACGAATAATTCCACTTTATACCAGCAGTCGCGCTCCTATGTACGAGTAAGTACTTACAAAGCAAACATGGGTTGTGACAGGCAAGTTTTGTTTGCGTTCGGTGTAGGTTTCAAGTATTAAATTTCAATTATATTGAAATTATCATCACTTATTATCACACATTTTTTAAATTAAAAACTTCAGGAAACAAAATGTTTTTCACGACACTCAACACATTATGCTGCCTTTGTGCTGGGTTCAAGAATACTGACTCATAAATGAGGAATAGACTATCATATTCAATTGAATCGTTTAGTTTAAATATACCACGCTGTTGATTAAACCATACCATAAATTTACATTTTGCGCTTGACACAGTATTCAATACAATAATGCTCTAACTATGAATTTTGTTTGAATTGTATTCACATTTAAACTATTTGTTTACATATACATTAAATTGAAATTAAGAATTAATAATCTTGGCGCTTAATATAACATAAAATATTAACCCAAGCAAAGCTAGCAACCCCAAAATAAATAACTCTAAACGCCGGGGTACCATCAAAAAATTGACCACTTGTGCTGGAATCCAAAACAAACAACTACTTTTATAAGATTCCACAAACTTGCTCCTACACTCTTCGAAAACATCTTGCTTCCCTTCCATTATACTCATAGCTAAGTAGAAAAGAAGGAGCTCCCCCCGACGCGGCTATTGTCTGATCTAAGACCAGTTTTTTACCGACTACAGTTAGAGATTTCCCAATGAATTTCGAGTCGAGCCATTTGAACCTGTAAACCGTACATACATGTTTAGTGCGCGACCATTGGGTTGCCTATAACAAATGTGTATTTGTTAAATAAATTCGTACCAGACAGTAAGCAAAGGACCTTGAATTGCCGTTCCAAATAAAGCATAACGTGTCAACGATGTTACATCGAGAACTTTTGGTTCATCAGTCTAGCAAAAACATATATTACATATATTATATATTATATCATATATAATTGCTGTGGTTTATACTCACAAGAGTCCGTTTGGTTAATACTTGTTGTGTACATTCAGCACCTAGAAACAGCGCTCCATAAATTACGCTATTCGAGATGATTGGATGTTTGTTGAAATTGGTGCGAATAAATTTAATTGTTACGGATGACATTTTGTTCATTGTGACAGTTGATATTGATGTTTTTTTACAACGAAACTATAACTGCTAATCTTATGTCATAACCGTTGAACATTGAAGAAGTTTAACCACTCTAACCGTGCACCGTGCTATAGATTAGATATATGTACTACACCCACCATACTCAATCTGCATAGCACAGATGATCAACATTGTATCACACCGTAGTAGTGTTAGACGTATATTTCATATTTGGACAAAAATTAGTCACTATGTATGAGTTGCGATATGGATTTTCATGCTAATTATTAATTTCAATCAACAAGTTCAACTTTTAGCTTGTGAAGTAGGTAAATAATTTTTTAAAGAATAGACAAACATTTTTCTTTAAATTAAAGTTAAACTCGTAGTTTGCACATACGAGCTAGTGGTACTTGTTTAACGTGGCCATTTTGTTAAAACAAATTACTCAGATATAAAAACACTCAAACCTAAATAAATGTTGACGCAGTGAAACAATTAAAAGTGTGTTAACGCAAAAGAACTAAACTAAAACAACGAACTGTCATACGACAACGGTTAATGCTTTTTCATTAACAATTCAATATTATTTAACCGGATGATTACATTCGGTTCTTGGCGGTGTGACGGTGCTACTGTATAGTTTGACATACATTCAATTTTTATATCCGCACTGTCTTAACGGTTTCTCTCCGTGCGCGTGCGACAGGTAGGTGGGCTGAAAGCAAAAATATAATTGTCCGCGCACCAAATTGCAGTTGCGCAAACTTTTAACTACTTAGTTATTGGAAGGTTGAATGATTCAAAACGTAATTATTATTGCGCATTTAATCACCCGAGTGTCATATAAGCTTTCAAGCCGTTTAGATACAAGTGTGATTTGAATTACATAATTGTAAATGTTAATTCTAAATCTTGCAAAACAGAATAAAGTACATATACATGTTTTTATTAATCTGCTTACTAAACACAAATGAATATTCCAATACATTCAAATAAAGTTGTGGTGATTTATATAAAGTGTCGGGGATGGTAGGTAGGATGGATGATGCAGGATGTTACATTTGCAAGTTTTATAGTCGGCTACTAGTCAACAGTTTATTTATAGAAATTGGTATATTTAAATGTAGGAGACATTACATTCCTATAATATTGCAATTATTAAAAACATGGTGCACATGCACATTACCCTTTTTTACAACAGTATGTAAATTATTGCAGTTATTTTCTTAAATATTTCAGTTTAATTATAAACGTATTTATGCATTTTATTTAAAATCAATAGCATTCATTTTCAAAGTTTAGTTTTGCATGGTTTCAGGACTTAACACGTTCCCGTTTCTGTCTTCTGTTGGAATGTACGGAAATTAATACATTTTTGTGAAACATAGCTATACCTAAGTATAGTTATAGAATGATACACCTGCTAAAACAATGTCCAATTGGTGCAATGAATAATTACTTTGTTTGTTGTTACAGCTCACATAACACTCTAATGAATTGTATTTTTGCATTGATTAACACAATTAAATTTTCTCAAAACTACGTGGTTTTGCGTAACGGGAATAATGCAGTAAAGTTATCATATGATATCATGTTATTTATAGAGTACGATTTACGTAATTGCAACAATTATTATGCACGCAACGTGAGTTTATCGAGGTTGAAGGACATAATTGCAATTATGCCTAGAAGAAAAATGTTGCAAATTCACACATATTGATGTTTCGATTGTAAACCAATTGAAGACGATGTTGAGGATTGTTATACCTAATTGTGGTCACTATATTTCCCTATAAAAATATATTTATGCCAACATTAATAAATTAATGAAATTGTCCACAATTGATCCAGAGGCGTAATATTTTGCGTAATCTAAACTTCTAAGGGATTTAAATATGAGGAATCAAGTTTGTCTTACCATAATGCATCGAAATTCTATTTGTGCGTATTACTGGCTTACAACTGCTACACCTAGTACATAATTACAATTAACAAGGCCGTTTGGACTTGTATGAATTGTATATCTATTTGAACATCAACTGCAATCAATGCGCATGTACTTAAATAGTGCTTGAATATATAGTACTTCTCTTAATTTATTTTACGGCACTATTATGTTAGGTCACATGACTTTACGAATTAATATCATTGGTGAGAATAGTATACAATTATCGAAACAAAACTACATTCCACATTCACACAAAACTTTTTATACGTAAATTAGTCTTTACAGTCTGGTGTATACACTGGTAAAATATTCACGCGTACATGCTCCTTCAATATAGAAGAACTCCGCACTTGTTCAATTATACGCGGACGACCAGTCTTGTGGAAGTGGCGGTAGCGGACGAACGTGTTTCAATTTGCTGCTATATTCCAACAAAGATTATTAAGCTTTACTCGTATTCAAGTGCGTGTGATTGTTAAACAATGTGTTCATTTTGCAGGCAATAGTTAATATACTTATACAAATTATTTAAGCTGTAACTAATGTGATTTGCTTGCCTATTATAAATATTGATAGTTACCTTTTAATACTTGTATTACTCTTATAAATTACCATGTGATATGATAACGGAATATGTGCAATGATGCCGGTGAAAAGGACAAACCGTTCGCATGTATCGATGAAACAATTGATGGACGTTTTTAAACTTTGCGATCCTGAAAATTCCGGTGAAGTGAATATCGAATATTTGTTGGAGTTGGCTAAAGCTTATGCCAAGGATGGATCAGATCAGGTACATATTACAAATTATGGATATTGTTTGTAACTTAAGTGTATACGGTATGAACTTGCACCATAAATGACTAATTTTACTGTGTATTATTGATTTTCGCATAACTACACGTGTCTCGGGCTCTTTTTCATTTTCCATGAATAGCGTCATTATTCAAACGTCACAAAGTTGATAGCTGGTAGTTTCGGTCATTTTCATTCGCGATCGATATTTTCTGTGAATATAAAACTTGCAATACGATGAATATTGTGTTGTTAATTCATATAAGCGTATGCATTGTATTTATTTGTGATTATATTGTGTGGTTTATATTGAAATTAAATTTGTGTGTCAATAAGAATGTCGGTGTGTTCAGCGTCCTTGGAAAAACGCGTTTTTAATGTGAATTAATGGATTTTTACAATAATTGCTACAAATACGTAGGTAGGTATCATGTAGAAGTATTGCTGTCAAGGTTTGGAGCATCCTGTAACATGCAATCAACTTGATGGCATTCCCCAATTATACAAAATTAAACTTATAACTTCAGTCACTCGTAACTTGTTATTTATTTTTAAATATGACTGGTTAATTTGAAAATATTTAACGTGTCTTTGATGGCTTTGTTTAAACGTGGTTCCTAATATCATTAGTTTCATGGTTTTTGATGCGTAATTTAATTGATGCATCGCGTTTATATTGTGAATGTCCAACGCGTTCGCATTGGTATAGGTGACATCCGCTGGATCAATCGTTTGTTTTTCGTTCTTTTGTACTTGCATCATGTGTTGTTCTTTCCGCTTGGTGAATCCGATGGCATTTTGCTGGTTATAATTTTCAATTGCGCCAGACTATATCATGCGGTCAGAATGGCAACGTGATTAGTTAACAATGAATGTCGCTGACATGGTAACAAACTCTTTATAAAAAAGTAAAAAGAAATAATCCATAAACACTAACGCGTTGCTCTAATTAGAATGTTTATGTTTTGCTTTTTTTTTTAGTTTCATTTAGTCACAATCAAAAGTTAAGTTATAAACTCTCATTTGTGTTGATTTCTTTGTATAGTTGTTGCTGCATTAGTTGACTATTCGCTCTGATTGATATCACAATTACAGCTTAATTAAAATGGATTAAGAGCGTAAAATTACAATCACAATAAAATAAAGTAACATTATTGCTCTTCGCAAAGTGAAAATAGCCACATGTAAAAGTTTCGTAAATATAGGTAAATTATGTAAAATAAATTAATCAAATTCGCCTTTTCCAAATAGATTTACGAGTATGCATGAATATTATGATGTACTCATTCACATCATGTAATTTTGCATTCATTTTGATGAAGCAAAACGACTTATTGCTATATTTGCAATAAAAATCATTATACAATATAAGAGTGAAACTAGAAATTGAAAAGTGATGCATGCGTGATACAAAGTGAAGTTTTAATTATACAAGACTTTTTTTATATTTTACCCAGGATAGAAGAGGCAAGGTAAAACGGCAATTTGCTGAAAGATTTCAAAAAGGAATTTGTTATTAAATACTTATATTAATACTTATACTAATAGGCAACGGCCATACCACGTTGAATATACCGGTTCTCGTCCGATCACCGAAGTCAAGCAACGTCGGGCGCGGGTAGTACTTGGATGGGAGACCGCTTGGGAACTCCGCGTGCAGTTGCCTTTTTCTTTATAAAAATATTTATTGATATTTTGTGACATTAGTAACCACGTCTCCTTTAGCTATGTACTCATTACAAGTTTATATTTTACTTAAAAGTTGTTTGAAATTTAAAATCAAATAAATCAATTTTAATTTCATGGGAACATTTTATTTCTCTTCCCATTCACGATTATTATTTAATTGTTGATACTTTCTAGTATGCCTAGGTGTTTTACTTTATTAGTCTAAGAAAAAATTGCAATAACCGTTTAAATAAGTGTTTGAAGCAAACACTAAATTCGTTGTTTTTTTTTTTTTACTTTCGCACATCGAGATTTTTGCATTTAAATAACAAATCTCTACGGAAGGTAAGTCGCGTGTGCCGATTAGATTAGAGGAAATACCATTCATTGTCTACAACGTTATGTTTTCCACATAATTGAGAGCATTCAACTCTGATCGCTGTTCGCACTATTTACGCTCGACATGGAAAAACATCGATCTAATTTTACGTAACGCCAATGACCGCCGATATCATCGATAGTAACTAAAGAATATAAGGTGGCCATACATTGTGACTTTTCGAATCAAGTAACGAAAATCACTGTAATTGAATTAGAAAGTTTGTTACAAGTTGTAATTTTTATATCACCAGTCCGTTTCCATGTGTCATTCAATTTCCTTGTTTCTTTGCGTTTTTGCCTCACTGACTTGATAACTCCGGCATTTTATTTCTTAGATTTTCAAATAACTATATTCCTCAAGTTGTAAAATGTAGGAAATTTCATGAGGCTACGGAAAATAGAGTTATAGCATAAGAATGAAGTAATAAAATTGTGAAAATTATGATTAAAAGCAATAGCACATCTAATTGAAATTTTCTGTTTTATTGATATTGGCAGCAATAGAAAGTTATCGAACAAATGGAATAATTGCACTACAATTTAATTACGAATTGAGGAAATCATAAGAAGGAATTACTTTTTCAAATCATAAGTATAGACATACAATTATATTACTAAAAATATAATTTTATCCAGCATTTTCTTTATTACAACTTTGAATTTCATTATTCAGATATCAAGCACGTAGGTGACTAACTAGATCAGATTTCAATTTCAATGTCTTGCTCTAAATATATTTGGTTTATATAATTGTTGCAATTATATGGTTACGGTCAAAATCAGTTTCGTACGCATTATTTATGATCAATTTTACTTTAAAGCGTAAATTAAATATTAAATAAATATTTGACATGATGACTATAACATAAAATCACTGATATTAGGTGTATTCTTTTAAATTTATTTTTTTGCCTTAAAGCACGAATGGAACTTTCAATTAATTGTTTTTTAATACCGTATATTTGCCAACGCTGTTGGAAAATGTCATTTTCTTTAGTTTTATTGAATAGTTTTAAATATTTTACTCAAACATTACCGCGTAAAATCTAATCAAAATACTTATTAATAACCAAGAGTGCCGTTAGCTAAATGCTGAAAATTTCGAAATTATTATCTCCATATGTTTGACCGATTAAATTATCGATTTTAGGATCTGGGTCTCATATTCAACCAGTTGGATAGCAGCGGCAAAGGGACGTTGTCCTTTAAGGAATTCTCCTCCGGTGTTCGTTTAATGTTGCGGCAAAATCAATTGCAGGAGAAAATCATGGTCTCACGCGGTAAGTACTTCTTTTAATATTACCAATTGTTAACTATAAATAAATATCCCGCTAAAAACTTATTTTTAAACTTCTATATTAATGTCTTTAGTATTTTGTATTAAAAACTTTTAAAACATCGTTGATTGCTTCGCATTAAACGTAAAATAGAAAACATTTTTAAAATCTTAATGATTTTACGTGTTTGCGAAATCCTTAACAGTTTCCTTATGTTATTAAATTCGCATTATGCGTTTTCATGCGTAATTGCCGTAACGCGCTATATAAAAGCACAAGCTAAAAATAATATAACAAAAGAGGAAAGACTAAACGCTGTAACAAGAACGGCTGAATTACAAGTGAGTGCTATTCGAGTGTACAATCAGCTGCGAAATTCTAATTTGCAATTATAAACTGGTTAATGGTATTTCATTTGAGTGTAATTCAAAATTGATTAGATATTACAAGCGTATGTGGGTAGTATGTGAATTCATGAATGATGAGAAACTGATGCTAATGGCGTGTCTTAAAGCAAATGAGACTAATGTTATAAGTATGTAAGAAACCTCAGTGAATAAAAGGAAAAACATATTATTGAGTTCATTAAATAACGTCTTTTATAACTTATTTCCTAATTTCTAAATGAGTACTTTCAGTATTTTAAGGTTTCAAATAAAAGTTCATAACTGTAATTACCGGAAAACAATAAACACTTAAATTGGACAAATATATCATATCATTCCAGTTTTAATCAAGACATTTAAAAAAAACATAATAATCGATTACACTTATATCACAACAAAAATGTATTCAGTTTTGAATCAAAAATCCATTAAAGAATGATTATAAAGAAATTTATAAAGAATTACACATACGAGAAACTAGTAACCTACATTAGACCGTTTAATTTTGAAATTTACGTATAAAGATGTTTATTAATTACCCGCACAATTTAAAGACTTTAACGATCTGTGATGCTTTAAAAGTATGAAAGCACAGTTACAAAACCATTTAATCCTCAATGTAGAATATATTCAACCGTCGTAGAATAATGTACATTGGGTTGCATAGCGTTTTATTTGATATTGCATTATTTATACTTATTTCATTAGCAAAACAACAACTTTAATATTTCTCTCTCTTAATAGTTTCAATAACGTAAAGCTATATACGTATAATTTGCAATGTAAGAGATAGATCCAAATTCACACGTCATTTAAAATTGTATTAATTTTTCAGTTACACATGATTCGAATTACCCACATACCACAAGCAATTGAACATTTAAGGATTGTTATATTGTGTAAACTAATTTGATACTACACACTAACTTTCAAACAATTATTTTCATCCAAATTAAGTCACAACATAATTGTTCTTCATCAATAAAACAATGAACAATTGAAATTTAAATGCAGCATCCAACATTAACTAGTTAATTCAAAGCTTGGTGCCAAACAGTAAATTAAAACTTTTAAATGAAGGAATACCTACATATATGCGTAACAAAGATACTAAATAAGTATTTTGATTAGTATTGTATCAGTTTCCATTTCTTTTGTATTTCTTGACAATAACCATCATATTTTAATATTTGATACAATTAGGAACTGATTAGTAGGTACATGATTTCCATGATTACAAGCATTATCAATAAGACGGTTTGGAAAACGCGAATGATAAAGAGACGTGTATTCTTTATTTTTCTTATTCATTCTTTGCGTACAGTGAGGAACCTAAAACATCAGTATACAATTAAAATTACTAATGGCCTTCGTATTTTTAAATAAGAAAGAAATGTATCAATAGATGTAATAAATGTGAGAAATTCAAGGAACGCAGGATACACACAACGTTAATCATTTATTATTGTAGGGCTGTACATTCCTGCATAATTGCCCGCCTTCCTATGTTGCAAATGGCAAAAAATCGCCGCAGCGATAATAAAAGTTGTAAAAGTCGTGTGGAGAGCATCCTGAGACTCATGATATTCAAACATTCACAAGGTACAATCGCACATTGCACTACCTATAAACTACACTTCTTCACAGAGCCTAGAGGCGGATAAATATAAGTACACGTCGGCTGGTCGCGCTCCGATGAATACGTCTTGTATTTTACTTACAATGTAACAGAATATTACTTGTTTCTTTTATTGCGGCGCTGCAAGTCTAATCGCAGATCCAACAAGTAAATATTCAAGTAAATATTTACTTGTATATAATCGGTGTGTAAGGCTGTCATGAATGGAATTTCAAGATCATCAACACAATACCACTTACATAGCTTACATAGCTACAGATATTAAACTGGAAATGTCAAGACAACTCGCAGGCATATAAAGTTAACTCCTACGATTCATTAATGACTCACCTGGTACATGTAGCCCGTTACATCTTCTATTATATTACCACATATATTTACTACCATTTAAAACAATATACATACCTATACAGATATTCATTTCCGGCTACACGGGGTTTTTAATTCCCTGTTATTTTTCGGTGTCTGTTTACGGTTACAATCTTGGGTTAATGTCTATAAATTAGCATTTTCCCACGTTTTTTTAACAAATTTAAATTTTTGAATACAATATACGCACGAGTGTACGATTTCAAAGTCTACCTGATTACATTTCAACACTTGAAATTGCTTCATATATGACTAAATAAATGTAATTTCAATTTTATTTGTACTTAACTACTATATTGAATTTTGTGGAGTGTGATTGTGGTTTTGTTATTTCAAAATATGCGTTCGGTTTCTCTAATCATACGCAGAGCCGTTCGTTCGAATCAATTTCGAATATTTTACACAACGACTGATACCTTAATATAAATTTAAAATAACGCAATGAATTATTCAATTCGTTTTCTATTCCATGTATTCGAGTGCTTGGACTCACTGTTTTGTATGGAAACATGAATTAATAATAATGGAAGCGTGAATGGTACATTTCAAACAAATTTTTTGTTTTAATTAAATATAACAACAAAAGCGTGCAGTTCTGTTGTTTGGACTGAGTAAATGTAGTGTAAATTTAATAGTATAGCAGAAATTGTAGAAAATACGAAAATAGAAAGCGCTCAAATATAGATTTTTTTCTTCCTGTTTGTGAGTAGAAATAAATAATAAAACAATAGAGTATAAATAAAACTGAATTTTTGTCTTAAATGTACATTATGTTGAAAATATTAAAAAAACATTATTGAAATGAGTTTTTAAAATTTGTAGTAAAATTTCATAAAATCAAAATTGTTACCCCACTATTGATGGTCGCTGATAATTACTCTGAATCAACGACTCAACGAACACCGATCCAAAATCAATTGTGCGTTTGTTGACTGTTTTTTTTTTCACGATAACAGTAATAAACAACGATAGTTAAAATGGCGGTAAAGCGAAAACAAAATTTCGTATTTTCAAATAGTTTCAACAGGTGAAATTGCACGCTCGTAGCAAGCAAGTAGTCAGCGCTTCAGCGCAAACTCGTTTCTAGAAACGCGAGGTCCCCCACTATCCTCTTCCACGGGTTTGCGTTTACCTTGCTTTGCTTGCGTCGTCGTTCGCTTCGCCGTCGAGCCTAAAAATTCCTGGCCGCCTCAGTTCGTTCCCACACGTTGCGGCAGGTGCATGTAGCGCGGAACTCGCCGACTTTAGTGTTCCAAACCGTCATCTGCTGCGGCTGTTTTCCGTTCTTGTTTTCGTTCAGAACATCATGTTTTCCTAACGAACAACAGCACGATCCGTCCACTGCCGAGAACGAAAACACTGGCGGCAATTAACGAATAAACAATCGGTGTGCAACGGTGTATGCATTGCTGTCTGCTATTTAAACTCGCCTAGCAGCGAACACACGGCGCTTACCTTCGCTTGACTTGTACCTGTCCGTTCGTTTGTCTAAATTCGGTATTTCGTGTCTGTTGAGAGCGCCGAGAGAGTTGTGAGGTGAACCTTGTGAGTGCGTGCCTACGAGGAATAATAATAAAAAAAAAGTAGTGACGAAAGGAGCGAAGCGTGGAAGAAGAGAACGGACTCGTTTTTACGTTCGGGCTTTGTTTTATGATATAAGACTAGCCGAAAGTGTATTATTGTTGGGAGCTCTGAGGGAAATTTCACGATTCTGCACTGACACACAGGTAAAACAATTAAGAAAATACTTCACAGTCTTGTTTTGCATATTCTTATAGCATATCTTGGTACTGATATTCATTTGAAGTAGGATACAAATCATTTTTATGCATACAACAATCTTCACGGAATTGCATTACGACAGGTAGATTGCTACCTCCAATAGAATGAGAAGGGAAAGTTAGGTTTGTACAGTTATAACCAGTCATTTAAAGCAGATTCTTGGACATTCGGACGATAATTTTCGTATATGGTAGTAGTGCCGGTGTTAACGGATAATTTGGTAATAGAGGTTATATAAATACTATAACAACATTCTATAACTACAACATACAGCATTCCATTTATATTAGAGTAATTTTAAATACCTTTATAATTAAGGTAGGACCGTGTGTGAAATATCCAAGAAGATACCGTGGCAATTGCTAAAGCTGCAAGAAACATGAAGGTTTTACGATTCGCATAAAGAACGATGCGTTCTGTTAAACCGTTTAAAATCTTTAAACACTTCCCAAGTGCCGTTAAGAGTACTGCCTCCAGTTTGAAATTCCATTCATAACAAAGAAGCGTGATAAAACACATTAGATACATTCGGTATCGTTAATATCATTTGACGGAAAATGGAATTGTCAAACTGTACAGTTAGGTTCTAATTTGCACTTTGGTAGCACCTAGGAAATAGTTTTTTTTACCACAACTAGAAGTTTGAGTGGGGGTGTCAGGGATGACTGAACACCTGACTCAAAAACGATCAAACATGGGGGAGGCTATATAACGGTTTGTTGTGGGTGAATTTTGTTCGTTTGAACATAGTTCCCAGGTTTGGTTGTGTTTGGTAATGGAACAAATAGTAATTCTTCATCATCCCTCGAGCAGCGAATTTGTTTGTCCACTTTACTAAAACGCTAAACTAGTAAAATGATATAAAATATCTTCAGACCATGAGATTTATAAAGTAACTTATGAATACACTATTATTAACAAAAATGTACGGAATTGCATAGAAATATATTTTAAGAACGGAACATTACGTTCTTACGTTCTGAACTCCTATGACCTATAAGTTCTTTCAAAATGTTCTGAAGGCTTGTTGCGTTGCCATATTTTGATAATGTTCGTATATCTTTTATTTTACTGTTTTCACTACGTGACTATACGACTCTCGTGGGCTATTAAGAGAACGCCGGTATTTTCACGGTCGTGATATCGCCGTTGCTTGCCACACGTATGTGCTGATGATGAATTCTGAAAAGAAAGTTAAATGCGAGTATAGATGCAATATCAGGTTAAGATTTTCTGTAGTAACCAATAGCATTCGTTAAAGGGCAGTTTCGCATTGCAAACGTTGATATTGTGCAATTATTGCAGTTCTCTGAAAATGTGCGCGGTGCTTTGTTCATTATTCGTGATCAAGGTGCGCCATTGTGTAATTTTTAAAAATATAGAATGATTGTGTATTCTGCAGTATATCGGTATGAGTCATCATGAATATTTATTTCACTTCGCACCTACAGATTTACTCTTGCAGGAAGTATTTGTTTCGGCTTTCAATTGTAGATTTACATTTGGAATGTGGTATTTTAGCCCACTATCCCCTCCTTTAAAACTTACATTTATCAGTATTTTTGTTATCAATTTTATTATATTCATGGTACCATATTTGTAACTGTCGTATGTCGAACAATGCAACAAATAGTGGAAATGCTCTAAATATTAAACTTATATTTTAAACAAGGTAATACACGCGACACAAAATAAAACAATGTACGCTAATATATCAGGTGAAAGTAGGCAAAATGCAAAAGTATGATAAGCACCCCTATTATTTGATGTATTATCTACTTGACCGCATTTAAAACCAGCACTCACCAACGAAACTGATATCTATGCATTGCTCATGCATTTCTGTTTTTAGCTATTTTAATTTCAGCAGAAATATTTACTCGTGACAAGGCCTTTTGCAATCTGTGGTCATTTAAATATTATATTACCTAGTCGCACTTCCAAATTGTCGTTTGGGTAGATTTGTAGTTGCAATGATATTCATGTTTTTGTCAAACGGTGTACTTATCTAACTAGAAATTTAAAACACCATTATTTGTTCCACTGTTCTGTTAATTTTGGTAAGATTGTCAGTGAAACAATGGAGATTATCGCCTTTATCACATTTTCATGAATTTAATTTTCAAAACTGGAAATGCTATTTGGAAACAATCTATTCAACAAAATTTTGAAAATGCTAACACACATTTAAATTTGAAATTTGTTTATACGCCTTCGTGCGTCAAATATTCATTAACTATTATCGCTAATTGTTATTCGTGCTTTATGACGTCGCCTTCGCTAACTTTCAAATGTTGCAAAGTTTCACTTATTTAATGTGTGAAACATCTTGTTTTTTGTATGTAAAGCATGCACAATTACTTTTATTATTATGATTTTTTCAATAATAAAATTTAAACGTTTTGCACGATTTGATAAACTCATAAATTTCTTGGATGCAAAGAATTCATTTATATATTTGGAATTAGAACTTTCTTCTTGACTAAACAGTTCAAAGATGTATTTATATATTTACTGCTTTTAAATGTGTGTTAAAAGTCAGGTTTTAACTTTTCAATACAGTGATTTTGTAAAATGCTCAAATTAAAGTCTATTTTTATTCATTTTCCGAGGGTTGAGTGCAGTGTCGGTACGAGCTATTTTCATTTTTTAAAACAGAGCTGTAGGTTGGTACCTATATAAATACTGAAATAACATTCTATAGCTTGGGTCCGAATTTCAGCAGCTGCTCTAGATAAATACTTTGAATTCAAAAGTAATCTGCCCACAATTCAGACATAAACAGATTGAATTAGAAATTGAATATTTTCTGCTTTTGGATAGGCGTGATCTACGATACAGCGTTTAATTACACGCATCTGCTCTGCTCCAGTGCCTGAACATACGAGTATAACATGTGCATGTTGTGTTAATCGCAGAAAACTTTGTTTTATTGAATTTACGCTCAATTATCTATGGTTTTTTTTTTACATCGCCAGCCATACGGTACTGTTATCATTGTTTTGCAGTATTTTCTAACGTGATGTAGATAGTACACACAAATTTAACGAATCATCTTAAGTTGATTGTTTGCTATTGTTGAACAAATTGGAAACAATAACCGCGAATTTATAATAGATATATCAATATGCGTCCTTTATATACGGTTTGCTTGCTCATTACTGAGAAACGTAAGGTTATAAATTTCGCGCCGCACCGACACCAGCAGCGCAAAATGGAAGTGTTACTGACGGCGCAAGGCATTTTATATGGTCTTGTGCTGCACCGTAGGCAAATGCGCAGGCGTAAGCTCCACACCGTGACTAACGGTCTTTAGTCACGGTCTTGGCCGTCTGTGTTTAAAGTACCACTTTTTATGTCTCAAAACCGTGGAAAACTGGCACTTTAACGTGGAAGTTGAAAAACTGTATAGATCTTTGTTTTATTTTACATACGCGATAGAAATTTATGTTACTTTTACTTATTTCGGTTTAGCGGCACCGCACAGAATGCATAAAATCTCTCTTCATAGGAAGAAACTATGTGAAGAAGTCAGATGTGAAATTATAGTAATTGTAATTGTACACTTTTACCTTTATAATTTGGTTTCTCTTATATTTACACCAATCATGTACGAATGTTATTGTTTTAAAAACGTACGCTTTCTTTCATTATATTTCACTTCGAAAATGATTAGGCACAAAAAGATATATACTTTTAAAATTGATATTTCAATTCTTCTTGTTGGGCCTGGTCTTGTAAAATGATACTTCTTGAAATTTTCATGGATTTTCATATCCGGCAAGCGGTAGCAAGGGCAACGGGTAAGTACTTGTTTGAAGTAGTCTTCTTTCCGTCAACTCAGTACCTGGTGTTGTATTTCAACCTGAAATAATGAATCATCCACATGTTTTTTTCGTTTCAGCTGCTTGGAATGAAATTGAATATTTAGGGGAGTTGTGGGTGGTTCATCTTTATTGTCTTTCTTTACATTTTTATTGCACACTGTAGCAACTTCCGGGGTTCGTTCTCAAGTAAAACATTAATTGTTTGAGTGCAAGGAACAGCTGCCTCCTTAAACATACCTACGAAACAAAAAATAAGCGTTGTTATTAAATGCAAAATATTTGGAATTCTTGTTTACAATACGTTTTATTACAATGATTTTGGAATTAATTAGTGGTGTGCCGAACGTAAATTAATATCTTGGACCTTGAACTACATAACATACGTAAAATTTTACTTTTACTCATAAGTAACAGATATTCAGTTATATTTTAATAAACATACCCATATCTCGATATACGGTCACTCTTTATATGTTTTAGATTTACAAAAACGGCAAAAAAACTTTTTTGTTTGTTTGTCGTTTTCTATTTATGTGAGGAGAAATAGTATCAGACATTGTGCACGTTTTGCATTCAAGTGGCACACATAACTCTTGACATTGACTTGATATCAACACGCAAGACTGATGCCCTTAATTCGTAGGTATTTATAGGCAAAGTCAGACCCAGTTGCCTTCGTTCTAGGTTTAGTTCACGTAAGTTTTGTTTTACCCTAGCTATTGTCGGCACAAGATTTATTGCACTTTTTTGTTTGGTAGAATAAAATTAAATAGAACAATAATAGAATACGAGTAGTCTTGCAAGATCGGTTCAAATTGAATAGCAAACTCAAGTAGATAGTGTATAGGTATTGTAGAAAACCGCATCCCTTTTAACATTTGCGAATACAAATATAAATAGATCTTGAAATAGAAGAGTGACATGCGACAGCAAGTATTCCTCAAGCTGACATCTAAAATAGACACAGAAATAATAGAACAAAGAAGTTGTTGACGATTTGTACATGGATTCAAATTGTTTTTCTACATGTTTCTGCATACAACAACTTTTTCTAATATCTTGTTTTCTCGTTATTGAGATTTGTAGTTGTACATCACGATCTTACAAGAATAACAATGAATGAATGCTATTTTACATTGATTTTGATTTGTTCTTATCTTTTGAAATTCTTTGTTGAAAACACTATACTTAGTTAAAGAAGGAAGCAATCGTCAAAAAGCATACGAGTACTAATGAAAGTAATTATATGATGTGGTGGTGAGAAATTGGTGGTTAAATTTACTGTTTTGAAATGTGACGATTCGGATGCGGCACGTTTTAATTTTTTCCTTTGAATTCCTTACTTTTAACAAGGCGTAAAATACCTCACTGGAATTAGTAGACTCGAAGTGATCCTTGTTCTAATTTTGTGCTCATAATTACCCTTTCAGGTTATTAATTATGTGGTATACAAAATGCACTGAGGTATTTTTACTTTTAATTACATTTATTCATAATATTTACCAATGGCGCTTTAATTATATAAATTAAAAGCATATAAAATAAATGAGGAAGAGAAATCGCATTGCATTTACTTTAATTATGATAAATTAAGATGCATTAACGCCAAGCGGAAGTCAAAAGCGGCTAAGAAAAGCCTCGCTATTAACATTATTTTAATATTAAATGAGGAAAAGTCACATCTAAACTTTTCTTCATCGATTTCATGGGAATGCGATACATGTAAGCGAAAATGCCGAGTTCACACTTAATTTAAATCACAATTTCTTTGTAATTAACATAATTACTTTACATAGAATTATTCTTAATAACTGAAAACGTGTTCTAATGAGAGTGAACAAGAGAAATTCTAAATTTAGTGAAATCAGACTTCTTGAACAGTTTGAATAATAAGACAAAATTGTTTTTGTTCCTGTATTTAGTTTTTCTGCATTGCGTTTCGTTTAAATGGCTTCAACTTCAACTGTTTGATTTCAAAAATCGGAATCACTGATTATATTATTAAAGTAAAGTTATTGTTTTATTTTTATTTTTGAATTTTGGTTTTAGTTACGTATTGTGTTAGATTCGTGTTAAACATGATTTGTTTTATATATGTGGTATTATCAACTGAATAAAGTATAAACTAAGCATGCATTATTTTTGGTAGACTATCTATTTATTATCATGTGTAAACATAATTAACTCGTAACTTGTAAGTTATGAATATCGAATGTGCTGAATTATTTAAATGCGTCGTATGCAATCATGGGAAGGACCGGCTGAATTGTTTGCAGTGCGTCACTATCGCAAACAGCGAGTACAGCGGTTTGAACCTGGACACGTACATCATGTGCCGCCTCAACATGCAAAACAATCGATGCAATAACAACGCATTGTTATTTTAATTATTTATGATCGGCCTGTGCAACATCGAATTGCAACCAATTTTTTTACGTCAACGACCATTAAACACACCATTGTGTTTTGATTGGTCAGAATTCACGATACAGCAATGCATAACAACCTGTTATAATACTTTGATAAACAATGGTATCAAAACGAAAACTCAAAGTCAAAAGTTGAATGTGTTGCTTTATTTTCGATTCTTAATAATAACATAATGCGTTTTCGCTGTTGATAGTTGGAAGGCCTTGTAACCTTGCACGGTATGCAAAAGAATGCAATTACGTGCAAATGCTAATCAAGTGGCGGCACTTTGGCTAGTCGCGTGTTTTGTTTAATTTAAAATGAGGCGTTGGCTCTGTTGCACCCCAGGTGAGTTGCACGTGCATCGCGAGAAAGAGTTCAAGGACTCGTCACATTTCCACGAACGCTGTTTATACACACTTTGTATTGACCTTTACGTTGATCATACTACATATTTTTGTTCAGAAGTCGATTAGTTTTATACAATGATCCTAGATATACTAAACCTAATAACTATGCGTAGACATATTAATTATTTAAATCGATATTGTGCTCGATTAGCTTTTATGTGTCAAACTAGTTTTGGTTTAGGTTTTGTGTCAAGCAAATGCAAATGTTCGGCAGATGTAACTTTGTATTTAGATCGCCTTCAATGTCTCCATGTTGATGCTTATTAGCTCCGTCGCAGCAATAAAGACGGCGATGTCAGCGTGCGGATTTTGCCATGAATTACAAATGCTCTTTTTGAAACGCGTTCGGAATGTAGGTTAACGGTAACTCGCGCAATCTAGTTGCGTCTTTTGTATTATCTGCGGTTCGTTTCTAATAGTGTCGCAAGTACCCGCATTTGCTATTGCCCACAACGCTTTGTATTTTTTGAGCTGAACTTTCTTATAAGGTTTCCTGACTTGATAGTTGTTAATTGACACTCGTAACTTTATCGATTACCTATCCAGTGCCCCTTACCAACTTACACAACTTGCCAACATTGAGAACAAACGAAATTTTATCCATAGGGCTTGAAACATCAAGTAAATGACTGACACTAACACTGAGCATATAGGCAGTGATTTGAAATACTTTTAATCGAACTTAATGAACTTTCTATAAACGATTAAACACTATTTAACGGTATTCACAACGTTAACTTTTATTGTTGTTCGCCGCGCGCGGCAATTGCGAAAAAAGTGTGCTCGAAGAGACAGTAACTGGGGAAGTCAATTGCAATGGGAGAAAGTGTAGCTTCGAACAATGTAGTTGAGCGTGTATACGCGTATTTCAAAGCGATGATGCATTTATTGAGCGCGAACAATATACTATGCGGCATCGCTCATCATTTCGTTCGAATAGTTCGGCATAGTGCATTATATATTGTTGCTGAAATCTAGGTAATTATGTTGCTCGTGCTGCAAATTACTGTCGAAAGTCAGTATGCTTTGAGTGCTGATTTATGAACAACAGTAAATGAAGTATTAGTAGAGAGTGAAGTTTTTGCGATGAATCTCTACTATGCATAATAAATTCAACGATTGAAGTGCGGAAATGTAGCAAAGAAGACAAGAAAAAAAAGGCATAAGAATGTTGATTTGCAGGTCTGCTGTTAGATTTGTTTGTACATAGTAAATCTGAACATCAATTCAAGACAATTCCACAAAATTTGCATCACTACACGATATAAATTTTAATGCTTAATGCGAAGCTGGAAGAAAAATTACGTTATCACTAGTCTAAACAAATAGTCCAAACAAACAAATATTTAAACCAATGTACAAATCAATATGGTATTGCATAATTTAGGCAAAACATTTAAACAAAAATTTGGTTGCAAGATTGAATATCCCGGTACGTTTGAAGCGTGAAATAAACGATACGGTTATAAGGTTGTAGTACGTCTCTAGGTATACGTCGTGCTTTATTTGCAAGTTTGCAAACGAAGATATGCTAGTTGGCTGCTAAACAGCGTCTGTTGACCCACATTCATTGTATGACTTCACCATTGTAACGCTTTTTACGTTGATGCGCTGCTGTGTTTGCAATAAATATCAGGGACCAGCGTATAGCACGTATAACAGTCTTTACTGGATTTTATTTTCTCGTGCAAAACGCATACTACAAAAAGTACAAGTAACAGGACTTGCGATTAATATACCTTGGGGGACATTCCGGCGATGATACATAGTTTTCGTTTAAAGCGTTTCGCACAATCACAGCGGACAATTCCGTTTCTCTTAAATAATTGGATGTTCCTACAGCGTTATAAATAAGTATCACGTTGTTAACTTTCTGATGTATCTTCTTTGTAGAAAGCATGATGTCACCGGTTACCACGGCAACGGAATCGGCAACGCTGGGAGGTGCCGGCAGCGCAGACTCACGGTTCATTCTCAGCCCGCCGACCAGCCCTCGACCCAGCGACGCCGTCAGCAAGAGTCAGTGCTCCTCGCTTTCGGATGGCGACAATTACGAGTGCTTTGAGCATGAAGGTGAAGGCGAAACGCCCGACAACGACGCCGATTCGGGCATCGCTGCTGATCGACCCAGCAAGTAAGTCAAGTCTTCTTTTCTTTACTATTTATTATTCACGCAACTAAATAATATCTTGAAGGTATGTACCTTCCATTTATTATAATGATGAAATAGTGGACTATGAAAATTGAACTTGGCGCAACTAATGGAATTTGGAAATTTTCTAATGTGTTAGAATTGACCCAGTGTGCCCAATTTTCATGACCCGAAACAAGGTCATGGAATAGGAAATTTACGAAAATCTACTTTTCTTCTCTGAATTGTATAATAAATAATGAACAAGACCCTGTTTTAACAACACAATTTACCTTGAATGACATAAAAATTGACACGAAACTTAATTAATTTCAGTAACCGCTGGCATTCGATAGACATTAATATAACTTTATAGATTATCTATTTGTTACCTCTATTTCTGTGCCGCTGTTACCTCTATTTGATGTGCATTTCTTGTTCTATGTTTTTAAGTGTCTCGCACTTATTTTTGAACTAGGTATTTGTGTGCAGTAGGTACAATCGATCGCCTATAAATAGCTGTAGTCTTTTTCTTGTTTGACGTGTCGAACAGTCCTAAAACTATGAAATAGGTGCGATAATTGACTCACAGTCTATATCAACTACAAGAAATAACTACAAGGAGAAGAAAAAAGCAAACAAGCAAACTGGTTTTAGACTTTATTTTTTTATATAGAAAAAATCTTAATAATCACTTTTTTCATTAAGTTATTATGCCCAGACTCCGCTAACAACATTTTATAAAAATTTTAATTTGAAAAACTGAGGTCTGAATTGAACAATGTAAATAAGCGCATTTTAACCTTATTTCGGTTGTAGTTGAATCGTTATTACTTAATATAACCTTCTATACCTACTCTGTTTCTTTTGCTAGTGTGAACTGTATTTTTGTGTGTGCTTTAATGGAAAAATTTAAGCGAATGTTGACGCTAATTTGTTCCTAATACCTTCATATTCTGTTGCGCACTCATTTATTCTATGTACCATGTTTATATTTTACTTGCAAACTGTTGGTATTATGTAATTTATGACTTATCCGTGGGCTATCTATGTAGAGGCAGAAGTGAATGAGTCATACCTTTTCGTGTCGACTTAAGTGGGGTTCTCGAGTTCTTGCCTTATAAATATCGGAGTGTTGGTGCATTGTACCACATGGTACGAAGGTGTGCTGTACTCGCTAGAATTCTTTCAATCTCAAGTTTTAAACATATGATTATGTAACGCTGATTATGAACGTTATAATCGCCGTAATCTGTTTTCTTGTCTCTGCAGTATTTTGTTTATCGGTGTAAGACTTCAAAATGTCCAGTGTTGTTTCCTTTGTCGCTTCTTTGATTTTAAACCGTCAGTGTTTGTGTAAAACCGGCCGAGATAAACTTTCTCCTTGTGGAATCCATCTGATGTTACTTAGCAGAAGTGTATTCTGTGTTTGGTTAGCCATGTGAGTGCGTGTGTGTGTGTGTGTGTGTGTGTGACCGATGGTGATGATGGCGACGATGACTTCCTGTACCTTCTAGTTCTTCATTTCTTTATTTTCACGTAAGTTTCGTGTTGACTATATCGAGTTTCGTTAGGTTTCAAGCGCCTTGGTTCTGGCATCCTGCATACAGACAGCCTTGTGATTAATGCATGTCTTCCGACTTACGTTTTAAACTCGCACGACCAGTTGAACTGAATAAATCTTGAAACCTTAAGAGCAGTTCAGCGAAGGCCCACATTAATGAGGTACAAAGAACGAAGAGACAAAATAACGACCGTATTATGAAAAACAATCATGTCCGTTTCTTATTACACTACCTACTTATACGTACTTTCCAGCAAGTTCTATGATCGGACGGTATTTGTTTGTGGAACGACTTTCTTAACTTAACTTAGCTTAAGTTATATTTTTCGTGAATTCTACTTGCAATAAGAACAATTAGGAAGAGTTTTACGAACAAATTTTATTGTTCAACGTGGTAAATAATAATTCAAACACTGGACGTTATGCCTGAGTTGATGTAGTTGTGAGTTGCTGCCTGTCAAGGTAATTCGTTATTGTAAATATCAGTGCTTCCTGGTCTCTGCTCACATGTTGATGTCATAATTAGTAATTATTTATTTATTATTGTCGTGAGTGTATAGGAAGCTGAGTTTCTACATTATTAAACGGTATATGTTGGTTAATTCGTATAATAGGTTACCTGTAAACGCAATCATCGCGTAAAAAAAAAACAAATAAAAATTATACAAGTCATAATAACTGGTAGACACTTAATTAATGCAATATTTGTCGTTAAGATATGCTATCAATTAAAACTTGCCAATGGTTGCAGTGAACATGGTTGATATTTGGCTGGACATGCACAAGGTTTGGAATGTCGCAGAAATATTTCTCATGGCGTTTTTAAAAGCTCGAAAAAAAGTCTTACAATGGTTCTCTCGTAAAAGGAACTTTATGTGTTGAAATATATGAGAATCAAAATAGCGTTGACCAAAAGCAATATTTAATTTTTATTTAGGTCGTTGTATTGATTTTTCGTAGCTATCACATAATAAAATAATTATGGTGCTTTTTTTTCTAGTGATGGAATCCGAAGTCCTTCCGGCAATGCGGCCATCAATCGCCACACCTGGTTACGCACCAGTTTGCGACGTACGCAGAGCAATCATTCAGATAATCTTCCAAATCGTCGATGGGGATCTTTCCGACAGTAAGTCTATCAAAATAATATTTATTTAACATTTGTAAGGGAAGATATATTATGATACCAACTAATAATACTCTCTAAGTAATAATAATTTACCAATGTTATTAATATCTTCATTTGTTGAGCTGAGCTATGAACATGTGTTTAGGTGAGCTTTGTAATTTCAAATTATAATTTCACTGTAATTGATACTGACTTTCGAAAATACTGCGAAATAAAAACATGAAATTTCCTCGGACGAATCGTGCAATGCGATGCAATTCAATAAAATAATACAACACACATAGGATTGCCGCTTCTTGCGCATTCGTGCGGTTAGTCAAGCTGAGGCGGATCTTCTATCGCTTGATATAATTGACATGGTTATTATAAACATGATTTCGTAAAATTATAGATACAACAACAAATATATGATAGGTAGTCTATAGTGATTTCTTTCCTTTCTTTGTTTTAATAGTTACTTAGTATCTATTGTCCTTTGAAGGTTTAGAATCCTTACATTTGTTCGGTTTGTGCATATTCTTATAAGATTCAAATAAGTAGAATTTTGTTTTACAATGTCAACATAGTATTGTAGCCAGTTTAATAAAAATGCATTCAGATTATACTATCTGCTGTTTTTCATTGATCACGTGTTGTGAATTTTTGCTAATTTACTTTACTTTCTAGAGTAGATTTATAATTCTGTAGAAAAATGAAATTTCACCCAAAGCATTGGTGTTGGCAGTAATACGCAAATACAAAAATACACAAAATGTTAATGACACATCGGATGCAAATAATAACTTTCGAAACAGCCAGTTCCTAACATCCTAACAGTCGCGTTGCTCAAACTTAAATATCATGGTTTAAGCTGCGCGCGCAGGCCTCATGTACATCTGATTTAAATTCAACTAGCTGTATGCAACTAACTATACCGATATGTTCGGTGTGAGCTCTGTTTAGAATAGTGGTAGGGAAATTTCTGAGTCAACGCACAATACATATTCCTTATTCACAAGGTGAATGTTTCTAGTTTTAGTGATGGACTTGTAGTTATGGCAAATGTCATCGTGTAGGTGTATAGTGCTCGCGCTGTTTGCGGCGCAATCACGCGACACATTTTCCTCTCAATAAAAAAGAAAGTTATAAAACAGTCTGACTCAGTGAAATACTAAAATGGACTACATAAAATTTGTGGGAATAAATCTAAAAGCATGTATTAATGTTGCTGGCTCGCATTTGGAAATTTACATTGACAAATATTAAAACAGTCTTATCAATTTGGTATTATTAAATTGTTTGTTCGATTTCAGTGCTGGAAAACGTCAACAACAAATCACATCGAATGCTCTAGCAAGGTAAACAAGTTTGTGTAGGTGTGGTAAAAGGAAGATGTATTAATAACAAATTTCATACATATTTTGATTAGTGAGAGTATTAAATACTACCTCTACTAATCAGCGACCATTTAAGCTTATATGCTCTTTCCTCTTTCTAACATACATGTGTTTGATGTCTTTAAATAACTTTACGGCCAATACTAGTTCTTCCTCGTTCATCATTCCCAAATAATGTTTACAGCCAACTTTATCGCAGCTCCAGCTTCAACTCGTCTGGGCGCAGCAGCAACTGTGATACAGCGGATGACATGTATTCAGATGCTTCACTCGAAGAAGATGTTCTTGATTTAAATCATAAGGTAAATATACATTGTTTTCTTGAATATACATACGTATGTACATTTAGCTTTATAATGGTTAATTAAATTTATCTTAAGCGATTGCAATTCACGCGGCTTTGCATAATATGCAAATAATTGGATAATGCTTTAGAAGAGAACAATAGGTCACATTTTCTCATATTTATTACACGTGCATTAGTTATTGCGTAATCTGCGGCTTGACGTCATTTTTCCCACATTTACGTTGTTCCTAATGTGTGAACGGATAAACAAGTAAATATTAATAAAGAAAGTAAGGTATAATTATGAAAAGAAGAAAATCATAATTTATTATGCAGCAATGCTCACATTCGAAGAATATTTTAAAATTTGTTTTCAAGAATTTGTATTCATTAACATTCAAGAGAGGAGACAAAAAACGTTGAATGCAGGCAATCGTTTCCGGCGTTCTACCGGATGGGAGGGATTGATTGCTTATAAACTGTCTAAACTCGATAAGCATTCACTAAGCATATTCGCTGCCCTAACCAAATATACCTACGGTCGTGAAAGCCATTGGTGTATTTTTATTCAATTTCTTTTATTGTCTCAAGTTTAATGAATTGACACCATTTTGATTTAATAATCGGTGCATATTTATCGACCTATTACTTTTAATTTGTGCAGTAGAGTAGCATTTCTCGCGCATCCCACCAAGCGACATTCACAATTTATCTTGCCGCAAATGAATTTATCAAAACAAACTGTACACTTTACACACACATATTAGGTTGTGATAATATGTTCATGCTTATTGCCTAACTTGCACACGTCCTGACGTCACGAGTTCTATACGTTCATTTATCGGGCTGAATGATTGGGCGAGTCGGGAGCAGTCGCATTGTCGTCGTTTGGCGATGCTCACTGAGTAAGTGAGGCGCGGTTTGTGCGACGCTCCTCGAATTCACATACCGCAGTATTTATTTAAACAAATAAGCTCGGACGCTTTCTCAACGTGTTCCACGAATAGTGCAGAATTTGTCTAAACCGTTGTAGTGCAAACCTTAAAGCTGAAAATTATGCAGTGTGACTAAGAGATAGTGACTAAGTACTGTGATGATATGCTGTCTGATACTTTTGGTGTTGTCATCGATCAGTAAACTAATTTCAACGCAAACAACATCTTTATAGGCACCAAGCAAATTCGAAATTGAGACGAAACGATTATACGTGTTATGAGTAAAAAAACTAAAAATAATTTATGTTTGCATTTGAACCGGCGTAGAAAAATAGTACGTTAGCGAATAGCGAGTGTGGTTTCGAACGCAAATAGAATGGTATTGCGATCGCGTCAGTCATGAAATAAACTTTAGCGGTCGCGCATTTTGCTGAGGCGCGTAAACTTAAGGTTATCGCATTTGGGGCGCGGATTTTCAAAAATGCTATCCATTTAAGTGAAATAGTATTCAAGGGTGGGCGGGTTTTATAAACCTCTTGGTGACCATGAGCGACGGTGAGGACGAGTATCGCGACTCAGAGCTTGAAGAGGACGAGTGCAATGGCGAAGCTGAACCGGAAACGGAAGACAGAGGCGCTATGAAAACGCCCGACTTGGATTACGACATGTGGGAAGGGCAGTTTGAGTTTGTCGGGCCTTCACAAGGCGTCATCCCACAGGGATTACTTAAAACACCTTCAGTTTACACCCATAGGACGAAGAGCCATTTGGTAGACGTAAACCACAAAGTAAATATTTAAATAAGTTTGTTGCGTAATTGCCTTGCGATACGCTTGCATTTTTTCGTTGTCAGCGGGAAATAGAATAGGAAAGCGGAAGCGGATCTCATTGAAATTATGATACGAGTATTTGAACTATTCCGTGGATGAAGAATGCTCATAAATATTTAGTGACTTATTTCTCTTTATGCGCAGGTGCAACTGCTTCAGCAACAAATGGGTGTCCTGCAAGATTCAGCAACGCACAATGATGAGCGATATACTCGTGCCAAAGCCGATAATGCGGCTCTTCAAGCGAGAGTCATCATGCTGGAGGAGCAACTCAGAGATGCCGAAATGCGCGCTGATGAACGAATACATGTGTGTACCCCATATTTCATATTTGCTTCTGCTCATCACCAATAATTTAATATAATTTTAGGACGAACAACGCAGAACGAAAGAACTCATTGCCAGACTCGATCGCGAAAAGGTCCTACAATTAGAAAATTCAAGCATCCGCCAACACGCAGCAGAAACGGAAGCAAACACGCACAAGGACGAAGCGCAACGCCAACGCGTGCGCGTTGAGAAGTTGGAGAACGAGCGGAAGGAATTGTCGGACCAGCTACTAGACTTTCGGCACGAAATTTCACTACTTAAGGAAGATGAGCATAAATATAAAGAACAGGAGAGAAGACTGATAAAAGCCAACGAAGCCCAGAGCCAACTAATCGAAGAGCTATCTCGCGAAGTAGAGCGTTTGCGAGCGGAGGTGCGCACTCCAGCGTTACCGACCACGTCGCCGGAAGCTCTGCGCTTAGACGAGCTGCACGAGGAGATGGCGTCGCTGAGAGAATTAAATCAGCAATTGCAAGACAGCAATGAAGAGCTGCAGGCCAGCATTTTACACGCTGGTGTTGAGAAAGGCAGACAACTCACAGCTGGCTTGAGTTTGGCTGCTGAACTTGATGAAATGACTCACGATGAGGTAAATATAACTTGGATTTAGGCTTAGAATAATGCATACTGGGGTTAGTTTATAATTGTCAAAATCTATAGCAAGCACAATATTGATCGAAAATCTAATACTTTTTATAACAAAAATCGACACGGAAATATTTTCGATTTTTATGCTCCTCTTAAATGTGGTGTCGCACGTGAAGTATCGGTGGCTTTTACATGTGTTTTTCTTTGATTTTAGTGCGATTTTCACGGAGACGATGATGCTTTAGCTAAGGTACGCACGTTTGCTTGCACTTTTTGCATGAAAACATTTACACACCAAAGCCTAGAAGCACCGTGTTTTATTTATGTGATGTGAACAAAATACGATTGAACCTTGACATTGAATGGCGCACATGTTTAAATATTGTGTCTAACAGATAATTTGTTTTTAGATGCAACATGCTCTCAAAGAGCAGCAAGACGTGAACTCGCAACTTCGCAGTTATATCGATGGTATTCTGCTCAACATCGTGGAAAAATGTCCTCAATTGCTTGAAGTGAATCGAAGATCTGTTTAATTTTCTTATTAACCCTATGGAAAAGTGAGTCGAAAACATTGAAGGTGTACGTGAAGTTACAATAATTTTATTGCTAGTAAAAAACAGTTTTTTATAAAGTTGCAAGAACCAGTAGAGTTCATTGCAATTTTCCATATGGAAGAAAAATTTGTACCGACTACTAGCGCGTATTTATAGTTATGATTTTGTTTTTGATAATCATGACAAAATATTCGGAATTTAATTTGTTAGCTCAATGGTCCGTCCATTTTGTGATTAGGTGCTGTGATCACTGGATATATTTTATTGTAATTTATGCTGATATAAATGCAGTTCAGTGCATTGGTTGCAATTGCGATGATCATAATAAACCAAGTGTACTTGTATTGCTGAATCAGACTAAATTTTAATGCCACGTTAATGTGTGAATCATTGCGGCCGATTCGAACACTAAAATCGCTCAAGCCATTCGGTTTCGTATGTTAACTATTGCAAGAGAATTATATTGTTAATTAGTGTTTGTAATTATTGTTCGTATTGAAGATATTTGTAATTTATAATACTGTAATGGAGACAAGAGTAGTAGATCGGCCTATATTTTAAAAACAAGTCTTCAGACAGACTTTTAAATATATTTTCTTTACTTTTAAATAATTATGAATGATTCATGACGCATGTGTTTGCAAGTGGACGCCTTCGCATGGAGTGTCTTAATTGAATCGTGTTATATTGATTAAGTTGTCTAAATAATTGATCATTTTCTCAGAAAATTCATGTAAGCATTATTACATTATTTGTTCCTAAAATCAATTGTACTTGAATCATTAATATCTCATTTATTTCCAAATAGAATAAATTATAATCAGTCTTAACTTATTTTTGCACTCTTATAATATGAGGCATAGATTAGTACAGGGCTACATGTTTATTTAAAAATTAAAACTCATAACACTATTTCAAAGTAAAATAAAAACTTTGAAACGTCAGTCATCCTCTGAAGGCACTAAATTTTTCTATATCTTGATTAGAGCTCAACTGCTCTTCGCTCATTTGCAGCTGCAGTCTGAACATGTCAGCGTCGCTAACCTACAACAAAACAAGTTATATTTATCATTGAATAATGAAAATTGTCATTAACATTCGTTGGCAGTACCGAAATGTAACGACGTGCACGTGAAGATACGAATATCAAAAGTGAACGGAACAAAAAGTGTGTAAACTGAAAGTAAGTAAAACATTACGTCAAACTTACACTAATAAATCGTGGCATATCGTGCTCGACAGGCTCTGATAAATTGCTTTCGTGATCTTCGTTGATCTGGTGATTCTCCACTGCGCACAGCCCACACTTTTTGAGTTGCCTGGCATTGCTATGCAACGTCAGTCTTTCTTTCGATATAGCAATTTTATCTTCGGCCAGCTTCCTCTCTCGCATATTCATCGAGCTGATCTGCGCTTGCATCTCGCGCAGCTTATCATTGTAATTCATCTGAATTATGCGGGCATCTTCAAGTGCTTTTTCGCCGAGCAAGTTCTTGCGATTGGCGTGCTCCATGGCAACGTCCAGGTCACGTTCGCGATTCTTCAGTCTAGATTCCTTATCCAACAATGTGCGTTTCAAAGTTTCGATTTCACGTATTTGCTTTATTAAATTTTCGCGTTCCCTGTCTGTCATCTCGGCTGCTTCTTTTGCGACTTGAATTGCTGCCTCGACTTCTGCTTTCGCACGTTGAGCATCGTAGTTTGGATTTAGTTTAGAAGCTGTTTCAAGGCGGACCCGCTCAGAGTGGAGTTGAATTTTTTCTTCTGTGAGCTCATGAAGAGATTTTTCTTGCTCGGCAAGAATAGTTTCACGAAGAACCTTAACATAAACAAAAATTAACAACAAAATATAATTTTATGCCTTTTTTGTACTTTCAGTTGTTGTCTTTCACGTTCCAACGATTGCCTATTGAAATCTGCTTCCCTATCGAGAGCTGCTGCCCGTGCCGCTAAAGTAGACGCCGCTTGTTGGAGAGCAAAGCGTTCCTCTCTTGTGTTTTGACTGTGTTCGGCTAGTTTTAATTCCAAATTTCGCACCACGGCCATGAGTTGCGCACGCTCTTGGTCAGCTAATTCCCGAGCTTTTTCTAAAGTTACTCGCATAGCTATAATTTAATAAATATAAATTTTCATTTGAAATAAATCTTACAAATTATCTTACATTCAATTTCTTGCTGTTTTGCTTTGAGACTTTCTTCCCTTGCCAGACTCAAGACATTGTAATCTCCGTGAACTTTTTCTTTTATATCTAATATTGACCTACTATTGATATCTAACAGTTTCAAACTTGCGTCCAATTTCTGAGTGTACTCGTGTGCATCCGTCAGTACTGAATGCTCCAAGTTCTTGGAAGATTTAAGATTTTCAATTATAGTGTTGTATTCATACTTCACTTCCTCAACAACTCTGTTACTATTTTCTCTCATTTGCCGTATCTCAGCATCGTGTAATTGATGTTGTTCTTCAATTTTTTTCTGGTATCTTCCAAGTTCTATTTTAAATTCTTCTTCCATGGCGTCGACTTTATCCTTTTGTTTGGAGGTCAATGAATCTAGTTCCATTTTTAAATGATTCTCGACTGACTCCATTGATTGCTCCAAGGTAGAAATTTGTTTTTTATAACTTTCTTCCAATAAAAATATCTCTTCATGATGCCGTTGCTTAAGATTCACGACAATTTCTTCGTATTGCTTTATCATTTCGTCTGTAGAAGTCCTTTGCAGATCATCTAATCGCTCCATTTCTTTTGGACTGAGTGCGGATGAAATGGCCGGTTGTGAAATTAACATTTGAATGTGATTATTAATACGTTCTTGTTGTAATCGCATATTGTTTTCCATAATTTGCTGTTTTGTGAATTGTTTATCTAGGAGCGTGTTAAATTGCTGCTCTTGTTTCATAAGTATTTCTTGCTGCTTTCGTTGCATATCACCCATGTTATCTTCGTATTTTTTTAATTGAAGAGCCATCAAAAGTTGTGATTCTTGTTGTTGCAAAGCTATGGAAGTATTTTGATATTCAATGTGCGACGCCGCTAGCTTTTGTTGAGTTAGTAAATTATCTATAGATCCTTGCATTGGCATGTGGCTTGTATTAGTTGGATCTGCATGTGGTGGAAATGCGGAAGTGCTTAGGACCGATGATACATTTGCTGGTGGGACGACTGTGTTTTCTGTTTCAACTTTTTTTACTTGAGTGCCACCCAACCAATCGGAAACATCACCTAAGTTAGATTTGGCGGATATGGGCTGAATAATTTCAGTTGGATGTTCGGGTTTCGACTCTATGGTTGATGTAAGGTCTCGCCTCCGTGGTTTTGCTTCAAGTTCGACAGATTGTTGATTGTTCTGTAATAGCCCTAAAGGGTCAGAAATATTAGCACTTCTCACCCGTCCTCGGCGTCCCTCCCGCGTTGTATCCAGCGAAGACATGCCTATCGTAGACTTATCGGTTAGTTGTGAAGCCGATTGTGTTACCGTTGCCGGCATATCATGTTTCTTTCCTTTACTCTCTTGAAGTAGATCATCCAAGGATAAAAACTGTTTATTGTCTTCCTTGGTTTTCTGTTGACCGAGAATGCTTTCCATTAAGGATGATTTTTTCGCGTCGTTCTTCTTTGGCTCTGCCTTTTTCTCCAGGCCCAAGGTATTGAGAATATCGTCATCATCTTCAAAACTTATTTTCTTTGCAGGCTTTGCTTTTGCTTTAACTGGGGACGAAGGTATTGTTGTCGAAGATGTTTTTTGAGTTTCCAAACCCAACCAATCGTCTTTCGCACGTGATGCTCGGTCAATGGGGGCAGGTGCATCTTCTAGACCAAACAAATCACTTACCGATTTCTTTTCGGGACTTTTTGCTGTACTTGGACGTTTAGTTTTTGGTTTGGGATTATCGAAGAAACTATCATCACTCCCATTAGAGAGCAAATCCCCCAAGGGATCGTCTAAATCAAATTTAGACATTTAAATTTAATTGTACAGCCAACCCAGTCAACGCAAATGATGCTTTGTTTGCTGTGTTAGACTAAATGTTTATTTCACAGAAATGTTTTGTTTGTAATGATTTATATTGTTTCCTAGGTGATACAATTCAAATAGTGAAATAGCCAAAGTAGTAGTCTGTAATAGTTCATTTAAGCTGCTGAAGATGGCAGTGGTAATAATATGAGAGTTTCCGTATTATTTTTGAAACCATAATTACGGTTTTCACATATTAAGGATTCAGTACACTAAATAATGCTCGGGCGAGATGGGAATAAATAATAACTGCTGATACCAATCGAGCGGTAGTTTTTATTGGACGCGGAATACAATGCAGATGATATCATTAGACACAGGTAAAATAATGTTTAGCGTGGAAATAATGCGGAAACAGTTGTGAATTACAGCCATAAAGCACCTAGAGAATTCGGCCCTTTGCCTGACCTTAAATAAAGTTTTCGAACGAAAAAGAACTTTTACCAAATGTTTACCAGCTAGCTAAAACTCCTGCGCTTGTGGATCGGTGCGGCAATTTGAACACAAACTGGACATAAAAAGTGAAGACATATCATTATCCCTTTGAATTCAGTGCAATTTGCATGTGCGTGTCGATTAGTCCGACGATATTGGTTGAACTCAAAGTGACCTCCAGCATGTAGGGTGAATTCTCGTGGCATTTCACATTTTCAACTTTAGCTGTTGCAATGCATCAGTCAGCACCGGCCGCGTGCACCAACCGCAATACACGGTAGTAAATTTTTATTGTGGGCGTTTACATGCGTCGTCTTAACAAAATTTAAGGGACCTATGGACGTAAATTCTTGGAAACTGAACCCTTGCTAGAAAAAAGGCCGGGTGCGACGTTGCCGTTTGGAATCCCCGTGGCAGCGTCCGGGAGTACTGGAAGCCTTGAAGAAGTAACGGTTGAGTGAAAGAACGGGCGGCGTGTTTCGACCGCTTCAGTTAACGGCAACGTTCTTGAGCGCGCGTGGTGACTGCAGCTACAGCGCGGCCACGAACTTCGCAGTTTACTATTTGGTCTGGCACGTTGGCAAGCGCGTAGGTTGCGTTCGCATGCCAAACAATCGACATCGAGCCGGCATTCAATTCCTACCGTTCCTCATACAATCGGGCGGGGGGTCGTGCTACACGTTGGTGAATACACCTTTAAATTAAAATGCATCGCACCAGAGAAACATGTGTTATGCATGGAGTGCGATCAGTGTTAGGAAAAAACCGTTGAAACGTCCGCGACAACGTCATAGACGTGTCATACACACGCGCGCTGCTTAACATTTTTGTTGCTGACAAAATCTTCGTCCGGTGCGTGGCGCCGCGCGAATGGGATTGTGATTGTGGAAGTGTGGATTGTGGCGTGGCGATTCCCTACGCTGGCGCCAGAGTATACAAGAAGAGCGCTTGAGAGCGTCGGATCGATATCGAAAAGCGGCCGAGAGCGAGGCAGCATCCAGACTCGTGTGCGCCCGACGCTCAATGACGTGCCAACACGCCCTACAGGGTGCTCGTTACGCGGTGGTCAAAATCAAAGTGCGACATCGATTGACTGAATATCTTGAGATGTTTATCGAGATGGATTCGCGATAAAAACGTGAGTATATTAATTACATTGTAGAATGTATTCAAAACCTTATAAAAAACCCGGGATTTGTTACTTTCAAATTGAAGAGTTGGAGCCGGCTTGCTTTTAACCTAAATATTGCATAAGGGCTGGATGTTGGCGAGCTGTTAAACTATATCAGGCGTTGCTGATGTTAAAAATCAAGAATATTCTGTTCGCGTATCCTAGAAGAATCTAACGGAAAATATTTGCACAGTTACTAGGTATTGGTTACTGTATTTATATTTAAAAATATGCTTGCCAGATAAGAATCGTTACAATTTTTACAAACACAAACTTTTTCACTTTTAAAAATTATAAACACGAGTTGTTACTAGACACGGAAACAACACATAAATAGTTACAAGTATTGTATTTGTGGTGACCTATTTTTGAGGACTATGTTTATCTATCAAGTCGGACATTTTTGAAAATTAACGTCATACGAACGTATTTGCATTACTGGAAAGTTATTTAAACTTAAAAAGATGGGGGTGTGCTAAAAAAGGGGGACTGATTCCAAACTAACATTGAGATTTGCAATTTGCGCTTGTGGAATTCAATCTTTAAAATGAAGAATGCTTACTGGACATGACCACATATGGTATACGAAATAAATGTATACATAAATGGTATACGCTTACATTAAACACTTGTATAATATAACCATGTAACGATCAGATTAAAATGAAAATTAGGTATGTAGTTTTCATCCACCCGTAACTTTTGTGCGACTAAAATTAATTAATACGGTTGGGCAAAACGAGTCAACATTATTTAACAACAACTTTCTGGTTATACTATTTGTTATACATGTTTATACTCGTAATTCTTATGCGATTACGATGGCGAATGACAGAGCGGCTATTGTTCCAGGTCATCAAAACAAGTGCACAATTATCATTATGAGTTCTAGAATTTATCTATAATTTACTTTCAGTATCTAATATCGTGCGCCAAGACATAGCATTTTATGACATCGTAGTTATTGAAGATAGATCAAAACTTCATTAACGCATACTGATAACGCATGCTGTTGCCGTGCACACGTCGGTTTACGTAAAACGCATAACATGCACATGCTTACGGTGCGACACTATTACTAGTCGGGCGGCGACGCGAGGCGGTCTGTTCATTAAACACCTGTTAGTCACGTCTAGTCTGTCGAACGGCGCCGTCGACGGTCGCACGTAAAAGCCTTACAGAAGAGACGAAGCCAATCGTCTGAATCTGAGGGTCGAGGTTGATACATGGTGCATTAAGATGGCTACAAAATTGCAAGTGACTTGAGACCATCATTTGAGGGTCTACCTCGGGTAAAGTATTATAGTTTTCTTGTGTTTGAACTCATATAGTGGCGTTGTTTGTCATTGAAGTCTAAGGTTAATTTCTTATGAATAAAGCAATTAAATTACTTCACAAATAAGCACATAATTGGGAAACTGGGTTAAGTTAATGTTGATCATGTTTACACGCTGAGGTCATGTCACTTTGTTTCAACCTAAACTACTTTTGAAGTTTATTTTGAGCATTGTGCCTATGTTTTATTAGCCTATTATCGAGTTTTCTATTTGATTAATTCTCCATTTGTAAAAACTTTGAATTATTTATTGCACGCAACAGTAGTGTACGTAGATCTTAATTGCTTGAAATTAACACTTGGCATTGACGTGTTGCGACAGCGGCGCCCTTGCATTAGTTATGAATTTCTTATGTTCTTGTTGTTGGTGCCACAGTTGTCAAGTCTCATCCCTTTATTTGACGAATTTGTCTCTTGGTGTGGTGTGCGTTTGGATGCGTGTTGACTTATTAATTAGTTGTCCCACCCCTCCGACAATGCCGTTGTAATATTCTTCGATAAGGTGGGCGGGTAACGCAGCCCCTTCAAAGTATACATACACGTTTCTCTATCGATTCTGTCTGTGCTCTGGTCATTTGTATTTCTGGGCCCTGCTGGCTTGGCTATCAGGTAAGAACTGATAACTAGCAACCAGCAAACTCACTGGCAGTTTGTGTTTGTATCTGTATGTTCGATGCGGGTATAGAAATACATGGCGCTATTATTACATCTCTCGCTTATTATTAAATATTCAAATGTAAGAAAAGCAGCTGCAATACATACGCGGTGTCATTCATTTAACATTGTAATGTCCATGAAAAAAATATTCTTTTATGTTTTTTATCTATAGACTATTTGAGAATATATAAACTGAATTTATTATTGTAGTAATATATTCGGCCAGGCTATGAAACATTAATTTTATCGTTTAGGTGGCGACTTCATTAAATGATGATAAGATTGTATGATTATAAGTTTCATTTTACATATGCATACTGTTCTGCAATGAACAGATATAAATTTCAAGAAAAATATTCATATAAGTCATTGATAAAGTATATTTTAGTTCATAATTATATTCTGGTTAATTTGTGGAAAAATTACTCCGGTTGACTTCGGCAAATGCATGCAAACTTCGACAATGCGATCAATAACCGCATTTGCCTATCGAATTATATCTTTGGTTCCTATGTTTCAATTTATATTTATTATTTATATATTCAATTTATATTATTGTTATTAGAAGTTTTTTTTACATCAGGTTAATTAATTATTATATTTGGTTTTAAAGTGGTTAAAGTGGTTTCAATGTAGCAAAACCCCGATTCATGCGAAATAATAGAATAAATTTAACATTTCGTGTAAATCATCTTGCATAGGTATATAGTTTGTTAAATTACGCGAAAAGATAATTTTCGTTGCAAAATTTTGTTAGTAGGTGGTCAGTTGGAGTAGCGGTGTACTATTAAATGTGATGAAACATGCTTAATAATTAATATATGGCAAATGCATCGTGCTCGTTATGTTTTGCTAGTTCTCCGTTTCAGTGCGTTTGAACAATGATAAATATCGGCTTTACATATTGCATATTGTTTTAACGGCGCATGTGCATGTGCTATGTGAGGCAACTTCTATAGCATACATTGCTTGAACGTCCCACGTTCTCCACTGAACAAACAAACATAATAGTGTACGGGTGGAGATGGAGAGTATTTTTAGGTGAAGCGGTTGCACGCATATCGCGTCCTTGTCGTCTTTTTTTATTAGAATTGGACTTAATATTAACACGAAATTTTGTTCGCAAACATAAAATGTAATTCAATGTAAGTTTCCGCCGTAGGTGTGAAATACTTGGTGCATATTCGACGATGTGTGTGTTGCAAGCGACTGATTGATGTGTTGTTTTCGTTGTTTGAATGAATATAGTTCACCTTTATCGTGCTTCGTGTTTATGCTGTTGCATGCTTGGACTGTTGCTCGCTTTGTTTCTATCATAATTGCATTTATAATTTGAGCTGCACAATATATACAGCTAAATGTATTAATAATTCATATTTGTTTAATGTCACACGAGACCATTTGCATTTTAATATGATTGCTATCAGTTCGTGGTTACCTATATGAGCTGTCTGAAGCGCATAAAGTACATTTGCCGATAAAATAATTAGTGCTAATGACTTGTTGTGGGTAGCGATGAAGGTGGTCAAGAAGTCTACTGTATGTGGCAATATTAATGAAAACAAATGAATGTGAATGTGAATTACAGATCAGAATTAGTGGTTATTTTGTGGGAAGTTATTCTTTTCGAATGAAATGTTTCCTTGGTCGGGCTATTAATTTATTTAGGCGTTGAGTTATGTACTGAATGGTGGAACAGAAATTAAGGTGTGTTTATTACGTTTAGGTATTCTAAATGATATGTGCTCAAGAAGGGCTTGTAATGTTGGGAAAACTTGTAAAGTTGTAAACTTGCACCTCTTTTTTTATATATCTATAGTTTCATCTAGTTTATGCAGGTTCATAAAGCAGTAAAATCTATCAAATTAGCGAGTTTATTTACCATTTGTGCTTTCCAAGGATTTAACAAGCCATAAAGATAAATGATACATGATTAATTTAAGTGCTACGCAAAATGTTTAATATTAATATACAAAGTTGTCATTTTGAGTTTATGAAGATAATTACTCATTTTAATTTTGAATGCCGTATTTTTATAATATTGTGATACAATTTGGAAATGGCAATAGGCGGAACAGCTGGGGTACTTGAGTACTTTGAGTAAAGATTGCATATACATCGGCACCCAACAAAACACCAAATGTACTTCTGTAAATTTAATAGTCCGAATTAATTCTGATTAATTTATTAAAAGAAAATTAGAAAACGTTCATCTAGTAACTGGTTGAAATTAATGAAATGATTTTATAATCTACAAGTAGACTATAAAACTCAAATTAAAATACATAATTTATTTCTAAAACAGTTCTTTAATACATTAAATAGAAATAAAATAAGGGCTAGAAGCCTGTCCACGCCATAAAATATAGCTCTGCGCCTTGTTCAACTATAATTTACTGACTCATGACGGCAAATGTGAATATATAAAGAAAAATTTACTTTCAATGTATTTTTATAGAGAGAAAGTGTACGTTGAATCCACATTTACCCCCCAACGCACATTTCCTGTAACATATACATGTCAAAAGATGTGTATCTGTCAGAATCCGCAAATTCATTGACAATCGTAAAAAATACGGTCACGGTTTTGTAGTGTTATTAAATTTTTGTCCTCAACTCAGTCCCCGTACTTGTGGTGCATGTTATTAATGCATTTTGTTTGTTTGTGGTCATCTGACACTGAGCCAAACAAGGTCTTGCACCTTTGATACCAGGTCACATGATTTGAGGATCGACAGTTATAGAAATTGAGTTTCTATTTAATCTGCATATTGTGCTGTTGATTGTCTCCTGAACATGGCAATAAAAAGAAAAATAATCCACTATCAAAGATGATTAAACATTCGATTCAGTGGGTCTACTCACGTAAAGTAAACTTTGTAACTTACTAAAGTAAATAATCTGTACCTACTTAACTTTTTTCAAATTCTATTGCTCAAAAATACCTAAATTTTAAATGTACAACAACACCAACTATAGCAAGTTTTTGGAAGTTTTAATGAACTAAACTAACTGAAAAGATAATATAATAATTTTGTAAAGTAGGCCTTTTAAATTAACGAGGAGTGGAAAGTAGGCGTTTTAAATGCATAAATTGTATTTGAATTCGTCTAATGGTTACAATTTTTTACATGCGTGATATATTTAGTCTCGAAAATAATTATTAAACTGATACTATTTTTAGCGAATAATGAAATTGGTGAAGACTTAATGTGATTAAGTGAGTACATGCGTTTCATGTTTTATTTGTGTGCTTCTAGGTTTCACAAATATGTTGGACCGACGGATGAGACCTAATACGGTAGTCCTGTGCTGCTTTTCGCTTCTGGTATGCCTCTCTGTTTGGCAACTGATCACGGGTCCCGGACCGCCGACGCCGTCCTACCTTTTGGAAGTCAGCACACCGCCCTCCCAATTTGCCGCTAATTGGATCAGCGATGCAAATGTCACTTACGAGTACCCGTTAAACGTATTATTGCCAGATGATTATCATCAACTTATTGATATGAACAACTTTAATTTTACAATCATGAACAACGCCTGCAACGAGACATCTCCGCTGCTTTTGATCTTGATACATTCCGATCCTAAAAACGTGCATCGTCGAAAGGTGATTCGCGAGACATGGGGCCAGAAGATGGATAACGTTGTGCTACTGTTTGTTCTTGGAGAAATGGACAGGAAGTTACAGGCGAAGTTGAACGCCGAAAACGAAACCTTTGCCGACTTTGTTCAAGGCAATTTCGTCGATTCATACGAGAACGTAACTTATAAGCACGCCATGGTCTTCAAATATGCCATTTATCATTGCCCCTCAGCCAAATATATCCTTAAGACAGACGATGACGTTTTTGTAAATCTTATCACCTTGAAAGATTTTCTACATGAAGAGTTGAGTCCTCATGGTGGTAAAGATTTAATGTTCTGTAATCTTCGTGAGAAGCCCGTAGTGAATCGTTCGTATCGTTCCAAATGGCGTGTGAAATTTTCGGAATACCGCGAAAATTACTACCCAGATATGTGTCCTGGCTGGTCTGTACTGTACTCACCCGATGTATTATTTAAAATTTACGTGGAACTGCAGAAGTCTTCATATTTTTGGATTGACGATGTGGTAATTACCGGGGTACTACGTGAGAAGGCCAATATTACGTTATCGAACAATAAAGATTGGGTAATGAGCAAGAAAGCATTGGATTCTCTTCATGAATGGAATGAAAGTAAGCCTTACCTCTATGGCCCAGCCGACTTGAAAGCAGCTCAAATTCGCCAACTGTGGAATTACACATTACATCATGTTCATAGCAAACAATTTCATTATACGTTTGCGCAGACGCAGCAGCACAATCATAATCTCAACGCGACATCATCATTGGTCACTTAAGTTACATTTCAAGATGTTTCTAGTCAAAAATATATTATCAGGAATTTACAATATATTTAATGGGCGCACCAACGATATTGAAAAATGGCGTCGTTCCTTATGTTAAGTTATATTAAAAGACAACTACGTGAATACCAATGATATGCAGGTTGATAGTAAATAGGGCAGAGATTATACTTATTCGAGAGAAGCATACTGAAGACTGTTACTTAGATTTAAATTGTAGTTTATTTTGTTATGTATGTTTCTCGGACATGAAAGCGTTTTAGCTAAGTGCCTAAACAAAGTGCAATGTTGATTGAAAAAAACCGTTTTAATTTTCTTATAGGGGAGGGAGATATTTACTTTACTCCTCACTTATATATAGCGTTTAAAATTATAATCAGATGCCAATTACTTAAGTAGAAGGGTGTATCGAAACCCCTGAACGCGTAAGCGTTGTCATTTAAAACAGTGAAAATTTATATTAGCATTGAATGGATTTTAAAAAATTTGAAAAAATGGGTCCACATACAAAACATTAACGTTATAGTATCTAACAGATTAATATGAGTAAAAATATATTATATAAAGAATATTTTTATCATTATAGTTTATGGTGCATATAATTGACGATCGTTTATAACAAAACCAAGTATGCAAAACTTTTTGAAGAATGATAAAACTATGTGCAGAGGTTGCTAGTGTTTTAGAATTATAGTTATCTACTTGTACTTAAAATTGTTTAAGTATGTACTTATAAGAGAAGAATCCTATTTAGTCAACAAAATCAAGATATTCTATTGATACCATTTTTTGAAACATTTCATTTGTGATAATTTTACTCTAAAAAGGAATCAAATTTAATATTGTAATTAAAAGTACTAAAATATTCCCACAGATTTGTGAGGAATGCAAAAATTTAATTAGCATAGTATATTCTCTTAAGCACTGTTTACTGTTAGAATATTTTTGGTCGTTCGGAGTGAGCAAAATCTTTAAATAAGTATTTCAAGCAATTCACATTCATCATATTCTCTTCTTTACAACTTGACATATTGTATTTATTTGGGATAACACCCAAACTTAATTAAGAATTTCTGTAATAACCCTGTTGTACTTACTATAAATTTGAATAGGAATTTCGTGTTGTTTAATGAAGAGAGTTCGTTAATTTTATTGTATTTTTTGTATTATTGTACTTATTGTTTATTTTCTGATTAGATTTAGTTTGCGTTGCGCTTATTGTGGAGCAATTTGTGCCAAGTAAATATACATTAACTAAATAAAACTTATTACGTTTTTCAAAATACATTAAGCTACTGCACCAATTCTAGGAATGTAATATTTTACTCGATCTTATCTCGGTATTGCGTTGCTTGCTGGTGCGCAACTTTTTATTTCGAGCAAACTATAACGAGGTAGGTTATATGGAGCCGTATTTTTCAATTTATTTAAATAATTTCACTAAGTTACAATTTACTGATTTTTGCCCTGGTCTTCGTCCTCGTAGATTGCATTAAAAAGTAGCATACCTAATCCAGTAAAATTTTTGCTTTGACAAATACTATTTTAATAATTCTTTAATTTCTCTTCGTATGAAGATAGTAGTCTTGAAAACAGTTTAATTTATTTCACTGAAAAACAGTCGCATTCAATTAGCTTGCTTAATACGAAAGATGATGATTAAGAATGTCCCAGACTTGGAAGTTTAGAACATTTTAGTACTGGTAACGTCATAATTCATTTTGACTTGAAATACTCTTTCTATTATAATATTTAATGCTATGAACTGGAGGTTCAGCAAAATTATTCCATCCATGTAGAATTAATATACCATCTTATGGGTATAGTAGCTTTCAAGACCTCCAATATTTTAAGAAAACAATTAACATTGTTTTTTGGGTGGCGCTAGGTCTCTTTGTATTTTCTTGAGGTACTCAAAAGTAACCTCAGATGGCGCAATAATGCATGTTTTTGCTAAAAATATTCCTACGAGTGAAAGTCGGCGTGCCCAGTTGTTGTGTAGCCGGCACGCAACTCTTACTTCGTGCGATAAGTACTAATACTTAAATGGATATTCGTGTTTCGTGTTGTAAATTCGTTATAACGCGTTATATTTGCTGGAATTTAGTATTAATTTACGGGTTTTAGTCGCAAAATATTTATCGCGTGTGTAATCTCCGGAATTCAATGTTTTGTGTGTTTAATACAGTTTCGCATGTATCTGGGATCACTTGCCGTCGGACGCCAGTCGGCCATGTTGTGTGATTGTAAATAATATTTTGGAGTTGTGCGAACCACTTTTGTCTTCAGCAGAACACGACGGGCGGCTGTTCTACCTGGTAAATATTATTATTTAAATAATTATGGCAAATAAGAGAATGTTTAAGGTAAGGCAAAGTTTGGGTTTCTCCGGAACTCGGATTCATTTCAACATTGTCCGAAATTGTATAACTAATGTTTTGTTTCTTGTTTATTTCAGTATCTACTCGCATTTGATTTACGGTGTTTGGTACTCTGGTGAGTGGAAATTTTCATCGTTCATAGTATCTATTTTTGCATTTTACGGTTTTCCTGCAAGTAAAGTTAAGTAAACACTTACTGTACGCTATACCCTCACAATATCGTTGTGAAAACGATGTATTACTAAACCATTGCAAGTTAATACAAATATTTGTCAAACCTGATGTGGATAGCTATTTCGACCATTAGAAGTTATCTTATAGAGAATAGTCCGTAGATTAAGATGCTGCGATTCGATCCTAATTATCTCTTTTAGTTTACGAGATATTCGCGATTGAATAAAATGGGCAAAAATCGAAAAATGTCACTTTTTGGTACTTTTATTGGCGTTTTTAGATCTTTTACTCTTGGAAATATAACTATTTTATATTTTTATCTGATATAGAATATTCCAATCTTTCGTAATCAGCAATTCGTTGGTTCCTATCTCTTTTAGTTTAAGAGATATTAATTATCGAAAATCGTCGATAAAAAGTATCAAGCACCCCCCCTTGGCAATTTTTTCTTAAGAATTAAAATTTTATCTCTTAGATTTCCGTTTTAACTATCCTATATTATAGAGAATAATCAGTAGATTAAGACGCTGCGATCAGATCCTATTTATCTCTTTTAGTTTACGAGATATTCGCGATTGAAAAAAATGGGCAAAAATTGAAAAATGTCACTTTTTAGCACTTTTCGTCGCGTTTTTCGACCTTTAACTAATGGAAATATAATTATTTTATATTTTTATCTGATAGAGAATTTTCCAATCTTTCGTAGTTAGCAATGCGTTGGATGCTATCTCTTTTAGTTTAAGAGATATTTATTATCGAAAATCGTCGATAAATAGTATCAAGCAATTTTTTCTTAAGAATTAAAATTTCATCTCTCAGATTTGCATTAGCAATAGCGATAGCAACGTGTGGAATGTGATAATTTCTTTACCCACTCACTTTTATTTACGTTGCAGTTCGGACAAAGCACCGAATGCGATGATATTTATTTTAATCTTATATAATATGGATTTGAAAACCATGCCACATGTAAACGTTTAAGTCTTTTCACTTAACTTTTAACATTCTAGATTTAAAGCGAATGATTTACGTGACTCTAATTAATAAAATTTATAAATGACTTTTACGATAGCAAAATATATTGCATAAGTAGTGAAAGAAGATAATTGCGACAAGTTTTGAGTTATTTAGTTAATGTTTACGTTTGATTTTATTGAATTTGGTTTGTATACACATAAATTCAAGACTTGTTTTCGTTTTTTGTAATGCGTGTTATCAGTGTTTGGGTTTGTGTGTTGCTGCGCGCAATGTTACCTGAGGCAAATGGTACTCTGCATGCTGCTGACATCAACGGCGACATTTGGCAAATAGTCTTATTATTGCCGTCGGACGGTGTGGTTGGCTTTACCTGTGTTCTTAATTATTTAATTCAGTGATTCTCGCCGTATTCGATCAATACTTAATGGTATTTGGAGTGAATTAACCATTGAATCAATTCGAAGATGGAATTATTTATTATAAAATGTGAATTTAATGTTTTGTGTACTGTTGAATATACATATATTCAACTAGATATTCAGATTCACATATTGCGGTGCAAGGGGCTTGCCAAGTAAGTTTTCATATTGTCGAGAACATGTGTATTGTCTTTCTGCGACGAATTAAACATTATGAACTGTCATTTACCGCGATATTGTAAAATAAAAGCGATAGAAAAGAATGAATTGCAAATTCTTAATCTACGGGATTTTTTTTATTAGATACCATACAAAAATCGAGAAAATAAAACTCGTGTTTCTCAATATCTCATTAACTAACATCGGTAGAACGAAACAGATAGAAAATTCGAAATATTTGGAATCTGCTTCAGTAATTGTTTTGAGTTGCGGGCAGCCAACAAGCAAAATTAAACCACCTATCTCCAGGGTGACCGCGTGTTGTCGCCGTAGACTGGGCACATTGTAGTTTTATATCGGACGCCGGATAAATCGCGCGTGTTCATCACAATTATACTGAATTCGATTTTGGAATAGAACTTGTTGGTTCTCAATTAGCAAGTATAATAGCTACAATTTAAGTAAAATTAATCAGGAAATTGTCGTCTCCAACACGGATTGTATCACAAGTTTTCGCCTACAAAACAAGATAATCAATCGCGAATCTTTGTTTCCATTACAAGTCACACTAATAGCATTAATATGCTAAATCTATTTGTATTTCATCAACAATTAACGTGTCTTAGTGTAAATTTATGGCGATCCGTCGACCATCCGCTAGCATCTCAAGCGCGCCTATTACAAAAATAATATTACATCTTATTATAAATTGTTTTCTTTGTATAACATCCTGCCCATTTCTGTATCCTGGTGTTACGTGGATAATTGATTGTCTTTGTAGTTTTGGTTCGTGTCTTTCTTGAACTTTGGATTTTCTTTCTCTCACACTCTGTGCATTCCTTTTCATTGAATGAACATATGCTATACTTGTAGGTTTTGGTTGTTTTTCAATTGCAAGTGGCAATTTTCTATTTGAGACACTCTGTATTTTAATTTCCTTTGACATCCATGCATAAATGAGCTGTATTTATTGTTTTGGAGTGTCTTGTTCCGATCTATGAATTTTCTTTTGCAACACTTGTATATTAATTTCCCTTTATGTCATGTGAATATATAACCATATTTGTAGTGTTTAAAGGTTTGTCGTTGGTGTATATTTTAAAAGGAAGTTGTTTTCTTTTTGAAACACCTTGTACATTAGTTTTCTTGATTGTCGAGTGAAAACGAACAAGGTGAGTCAAGTGAGTTTTTTGTTTGCACTTTAAATTTTCCTTTTGTAACACCCTGTACATTTGTTTCCATTTTTCATTCACCTAGAAAATTGGCTATTTACTATTTTCATTATCGCGGTAGAACTTTATGAAGTAGTACTTACTGATATGTGCGCGGCTAAGCAGGTCGTAAGTCCTATTTGAATATGGCGACATGAATTTGTTGACTTGTAAAATCTAAACTTGTATTCTATTGTTAATAAAGAAGTAGTATGATATATTTACTTCTTTGATTTGTATACCCTTTCTATCATTTCAGGCACAGGTCTCTAGGAGAGTTCCCTCTCTCAGGGGATGATCCCCACTATAAAAATTGTTTAGGTATCCTGTGTGATTTGTGTGCTCCTTCTTTCATTTCAGCTGCAGGTCAGAACTTGTAAGAATATTTTTAAGTGTCGCCTCTCTTGAGACGACTTAAAACTTAGAAATATTTGAACAAGACCTTATAAGGATTGTCCTTATAAGGAGTTCCCTCTCTCTGGGGGTGATCCCCCACCATAAAAATTGTTGATATGCCTGAGAATCCTGGGGATGAAGCGCAGAGACATCGTAGCTGTAGGATGGGCCGGGAGCAATGGACGCACCGAAGCAGTAGACTGTAGACTGTCTTATAACGACACGTGGCCAAAAAATTTAAAAATTCCGTCACCCCTGTACTCTACTCTCTTCTTATTTCTCCAATTCTCTCCTGCTGCTGCTCTCTACTTACTCATTTTCCTTACTCCTCCACTATCTTCTACACTTATTCCTATTGTTGTTGCTTTGTTGTACTCTGCTTTTCAAGTTAGTTCTGAATCATTTGAATCTTGAATTTTTGTCGTATGCAACCCACATTTCTTAAATTTCTTATTATTTAATAAAATTGCCTTCTACAACTGAGATTCGATCCATGAACCTCCAGCATACTAGCATATGCACACGCCACCTGAGCCACAACGCTCACTTATCAAACTCTATTCGTTTCAGGTATTAATGTTTTTCTTTATCTCCGCTTTTTAAAAACAACAACATTTATATATCGCTTGTACGCATTTCAAACACGGGTAATCAAATATGATCTTTAAATCTAATTCTGAAAACGACCATAGGAACACAGAGAGATAACTGCTTCAAAATATACTATTAAATTAAATTTTATTCCAACTCATATAATTAAAACAGTCCATTTAATTATGTTACATGAAATTTAAGTACCTGTGTTCAACGTTACTTGCAAAAGTTACCTAAGTTACAAGTTACACTTACTTGAATGTTTAAACTTCACAAACTGATACGGAAAAGATTTTACGGACTTCATTCCACACGGGAAACAATCGTAGTATATTTCCACGATTGAATTATTTAAAAAATGCACAAAAGTTTATAAATCCAGTAAGAATTCTTCGTATCGACGAGAGATAACCGACGGGCGACTGAAAACACGTGCGCACATTGAAAGAACAACTTAATTTATACTTCCACGCGCGATAACTTATTAATTACACGTCGCATACATTTATCAATGCTAAATTCTATCCATGCTGACCGATATTAATTAAACTACCGATTTATAACCCCAAGAAACGTGAAAATGCGCCACGAGAACCGACCGACTTACGAAACATGTGCACACTACTACGCAACGCACAACCGAACTTAGACCTGCAAGAATTCTATAGTAGGGGTTTGGGATAAAACCACTCACTTTCGGATTTCATGGGCGACAATTCAATGACATGCCATACTTGCTGACATTCATGCCACTATTACATTAACATCTCAAGAAACCCGATTAATAACTATGCAGATAGACGCACAAACAAAACACATGTTCACGACACCACCGCGCACGACCGACTAAGCAGAAAAGAGAATTGTCAGTCGACGTTAACGTCTAGTTGGGGACAGCAGGTAGATAATTGTAGTATTGGTTTTTGGTATCATAATATAAACTTGCAATACTACCCGATGGTGAATTTTATTCCGCATCCCTAGACGCCGCGCTTAAGTTACTGAGCCGCCAAGGTAGCGAGCAAACCTGAAAAAATGGAAAGATTTCCCGAGAAAAGGTGAAATGATCACCCGTTTATGCGATTTTTCCCGGGTTGTACGAATTTCTGCATCAAATAAATACCACCCAACGGAGACTTTAATTTGACATCTTAAAAGATCGCGCGGAAATTTCTAAGCCGCCTCTTTCGCGAGCTATACCGAAACAACTCTAACAATTTCACTCTGCATGTGAAAATCCCACTTAATACCCCAATTTTCGAATTTATCAAAGCGCCATTCCTGTAACAAATTAATACAATTTAACGGAGAATTTAATTTATCAACTCTAGGGACGTCCCTTTTGCGAGTTAAAGCTAGACAACAATGCTGCAACTACCAAATACCCTTATCCGCATTACTACAACAAATAAAACGCAAGGTCGTCCCATTTACACGAGAAGCAATAATAAAATACAGTAAAAGTCGTCAGGCGTATGTGCAATACAATGTAAACTCTTGATAAACTTGATAATTATAGAGGTATCGCATCCCGTCGAAACGCAGTTGCTCTCCACCAGGCTGGAAGATGTTCCTTGGTTGATGGCGTGGTAGGCGATTTTCAAGTGCATTCTCCACCGCAGTATACATCTGTGGGTGTTATACGCTCAAAATTAATTTCTATAATAATATTTCTAAAATTAAATTTGATATGGTACTAAAAATACGTACATGTGATGCTAAGGTAACTGCCGCGTATAAATTAAATGAAATTCCAGTAAACAAAAATAATGAAAATGTGCACTTTACCTTCCTTTCTCGCGGTGCATGAAGCTCGCTGGAACATGGACAATACGGAGGCCATTGCTGGTAGCCAGAAGATGATCTTCGGGTAAATATTTGGCGCAGAATTCACCAAGAACTAAAATTAAATCACATTTAACTACGGTAATTCTAGAGACGGCTAGATAAACAAAAAAGTTCACAACAGTAACAAAATAAGATACCGTTCTAACTTTGCGTAAGCAAAGACCTTGCTTGCACAAATAGGTGAATTAAACGAGGACAGCAATTTCAGAAAAAGAAAATAAAGAAAGTCTGCACTTTACCGTTTTTTCCCCGCTTTCACGCAGAACATTGTCCATGTTCCCTGGATAAAATACCAAACGCAACGACACTGATAGACCACAATTATACGAAATAATATCCCAACACACGTTGCAAGACGTTGCAGGTACATGCTACCTGTATATCGCGAGCGTGCAGTGTAAACAAGTTGATAGCACGCGGCCATCTTGCATCACGCACAACAAACGCAAATAAAAATTAACGATTGTGTATATAGCCCAGTCATTTGGTAGTTTTGCCTGGAAAATAGTGCGGGATTGTTGAAAATTGGTATTCATATAGATTTCGAGGTGCTCTTTACGAATTTCAACTTTGCCACCTCGTATCTTGTTCGCTCGAGCCACCATCTTGGAAAAATGGTGTCAAAAAACAGTTTTTTGACCATATCTCCTTTCCGACTCAATTTACGATAAATATATCTATATAATAAATTAAACTAGAGAAAATTTCCTATAATTTATGTAAGTACCTTTTTCTTGTAAAATTAATAGATTTAGCGTACGGGCGCCGCAAAGTCTACTTCAACATTAATTTTCGCCAAAACTCATTTCCACACCACCATGAGGTAGAGTACGTGGCGCGTTTGTTTTTTTATCTTGATATCCCCAGTAGGCCTAATCCTAATTTTTGCATTTGCAAGATATTAGTTTTAACAATGTTTCGGGAGCTGGGGACTCAAGTGTGATGACAGGAATTAGCCCATTCTTTTTTCTTTTCCATCCCCATTGTTCTGCATTTAGTTCATTCCCATACTACTACTTAACTTGGTGATAAGTTCTGAACGAATGTTGTTGGGCTGCGGCTTCAGTTGGTGGTAGCGATGCAATATTAAATTTATTTTTGTATGCTGATTTTGTGAAGCTGGCATATCTATAGATGTTTGAAGACATATTTTGCATAGTTTTCACATCACTGTTACAGTATAATTTAAGAAGGAAGAATTCGCCAGCTGTAGCCATGATCTCTGTACCAGCCTTTGGGTTTTTGAATACCTGGATAACTTCGTTTAAGTATGGATTTTTGCTGTGTACATTAATACATTTTAATTTTCCTTGATGAAAGAGTGCAGATGTTGTATCACAGCCACAAAAAGCGTGTAAGAATAATATGTGATCTGCCGCTGTTTGATCGATCATGCTTTTGGTTGAATAGATTTGTTGCAAAATTTTTCCTTTTTCTAGTTTTAGCTAATATATGTTTGAACACATTGATAGTGCCGTTAAAAGAATAAGAAGATCTACATCTTCGCCGATAACAAGCACGAATTGTGATACTGTGCATTGGCTGCGACCAAATCATAAACACGCTCGAGGCATTCAACAATCGCTCTACCCTAATCATCATTACGTGCTCTAGGACGTTCTGAAATAGTGTTTTTCATCAATAATTTATGTACGCTATACACAATATTTCGATCACTCAAATGCGTCCGTTTTTATTTCGCTATAAATTCTGCTGTTATTTCAGCAGCGTCCAAAATACATTGATCTTTAAATGAGAATGTCGGGCACGTGGATCGCAGTTGTGGTTGAAAAGTCGTGACAACACTTTCCTTTTTAATTAGTTTCTCATTATTATATCGTTTCCGACATATCTCGTGAACAACTACCGATCTCAATCCCTCTAAAAGTTTACCCTTATTATCCTTTCTTTTAATGCTTGACTTACGAAAGGTTTCCAATCCCTTTTCTTTCACTTCAATCACTTCACTATCTTGCAATGGAGTTTTACAAATAAAACAATTTACGTTATCAACCATGGCATCAAAACTGCAAACAACACGACTATTCAGAACAATAAATATTAAATAATGACTCAATGAAGAAATAATAAAACAAAAGTAAACTCGGCCGGCGAAACTTTCAAACAAGCGAGGGGGAGCAGGACCACCCTCAAATCATAGCAAGCAAAAATAGCAGTAGACTTTGTGGCGCCCGTACGCTAAAACTATTAATTTTACAAGAAAAAGGTACTTACATAAATTATAGGAAATTTTCTCTACTTTAATTTATTATATAGATATATTTATCGTAAATTGAGTCGGAAAGGAGATATGGCCAAAAACTGTTTTTGACACCATTTTTCAAGATGGTGGCTCGAGCGAACAAGATACGAGGTGGCAAAGTTGAAATTCGTAAAGAGCACCTCGAAATCTATATGAATACCAATTTTCAACAATCCCGCACTATTTTCCAAGCAACCACATTTTTAGCACCAAATGACTGTACTAATATTTGACGCCCTATTATCCACTAATAAAACACTAAGCATGTAAGTAATAACTAAATGCAGTCGATGGAAAATCGAAATGAATGCGATTTGCCAAATTACAAACTCAAACTAAAATGACCAGCCGCGAAAAACACGTCCGACTCATTTCACGATCGGCACAAAACTGCGCTCAGTTTGCGTGTTTTGAAAATTGCAAGAAAAGGCGTAACTTTGGCGGCGATTTTGAGGCAGTTACGACCGAATTTTGCAGGAGTTCAGGGGTGCATTTTAAAAATGCACTCTTTTCCTATCATAAAATAAAGAAACAGCTCAAATATGACAAAGGGTTCCCGAGATATGACCTATTTTCCAGCGCGTGTTTTAAAAATTGCAAAAAAAAGGCGAAACTTTGGCGGCCATTTTGAGGCAGTTACGATCGAATTTCGCAAAGCTTCAAGGGTGCATTTTTAAAATGTACTCTTGCCATACAATAAAATAAAGAAAAAACTAAAATATGACAAAGAGTTCCCAAGATATGGCAAATATTGCAAGAAAAGGCGTAATTTTGGCGGCCATTTTGAGGCAGTTACGATCAAATTTCGCAAGGCTTCAAGGGTGCATTTTAAAAATGCACTCTTGCCCTACAATAAAATAAATAAAAAGTTAAAATATGACGAAGGGTTCTCGAGATAAGGCCTGTTTTCCACCGCGTGTTTCGAAAATTGCAAAAAAGGCGTAACTTTGGCGGCCATTTTGAGTCAGTTACGATTGAATTTCGCAAAGCTTCAAGGGTGTATTTTAAAAATGTACTCTTGCCATACAATAAAATAAATAAAAAACTCAAATATGACAAAGGGTTCTCGAGATAAGGCCTGTTTTCCACCGCGTGTTTTAAAAAATGCAAGAAAAGGGCAAACCTTGGTGGCCATTTTGAGGCAATTACGACCGAATTACGCGGGGCTTCAGGGGTTCATATTATAAATGCACTCTTGCCCTACAGTAAAATAAAGAAAACACTAAAATATGACAAAGGGTTCGCAAGATATGGTTCGCTCTCTACCGCGTGTTTCGAAAATTGCGAGAAAAGGCATAACTTTGGCGGCCATTTTGAGGCAGTTACGATTAAATTTTGAAGGAGTTCAGGGGTGAATTTTGAAAATGCACTCTTGTCATATCATAAAGTAAATAAAAAGAGAAAATATGATAAAGGGTTCCCGAAATATGGCCTGTTTTCCACCGCGTGATTAGAAAATTGCAAGAAAAGGCCTAACTTTGGGGGCCATTTTGTGACAGTTATGACTGAATTTCGAGGGGGGTCAGGGGTGCATTTTAAAGATGCACTCGTTTCCTATCATAAACTAAAGAAACAGCTAAAATATGACAAAGGGTTCCCGAGATATGGCTTGTTTTCCAGCGCGTGTTTTGAAAATTGCAAAAAAAGGCGTAAATTTGGCGGCCATTTTGAGGTAGCTACGATCGAATTTCGCAAAGCTTCAAGAGTGCCTTTTAAAAATGTACTCTAGCCTTATAATAAAATAAATAATACATTAAAATATGACAAAGGGTTCTCGAGATAAGGCCTGTTTTCCACCGCGCGTTTTAAGAAGTACAAGAAAAGGGCAAAATTTTGCGGCCATTATGAGGCAATTACGAAAGAATTTCGCGGGGCTTCAGGAGTTCATATTAAAAATGCCCTCTTGCCGTACAATAAAATAAAGAAAAAACAAAAATATGACAAAGGATTCGCAAGATATGGTTCGCTTTCTACCGCGTGTTTCAAAAATTGCGAGAAAAAGCGTAATTTTTTAGGCCATTTTGAGGTAGTTACGATCAAATTTCGAAGGAGTTCAGGGGTGCATTTTGAAAATGCACTCTTGTCATATCATAAAGTAAATAAAAAGAGAAAATATGACAAAGGGTTCCCGAGATATGGCCTGTTTTCCACCGCGTGATTTGAAAATTGCAAGAAAAGGCCTAACTTTGGCGGCCATTTTGCTGCAGTTACGACCGAACTTCGGGGGGGGGGGGATCAGGGGTGCATTTTAAAAATGCACTCTTTTCCTTTCATAAAATAAAGACACAGCTAAAATATGACAAAGGGTTCCCGAGATATGGCCTGTTTTCCTGCGCGTGTTTTTAAAATTGCAAAAAAACGCATAACTTTGGCGGCCATTTTGAGACAGCTACGATCGAATTCCGCAAAGCTTCAAAGGTGCATTTTAAAAATGTACTCTTGCCATACCATAAAATAAATAAAAAACTAAAATATGACAAAGGGTTCCCGAGATATGGCCTGTTTTCAGGCGCGTGTTTTAAGAAATGCAAGAAAAGGGTAAAGCTTGGCGGCTATTTTGAGGCTATAACGATCAAATTTCGCAGGAGTTCAAGGGTGCATTTTGATAATGCACTCTTGCCATATAATAAAATAAATAAAAAGATAAAATATGACAAAGGGTTCCCTTGATATGGCCTGTTTTCCGCCGTGTGTTTTAAAAAACGCGAAAAAGGGGCAAACTTTGTCTTGTTCTTCGTTTTCTATATTACCCGCTATTAAAATAAACAAGACATCCTTAATTCGCGAGCTATTGCAACACGCAGGTCATAAAACATTTAACTGAATAATATAACTTAATAAAAACTTACCAATGCAGTGCTAAGTTACTTACTCAAGTACGAAGGAACCTCCTAATGACGGGAAACATCATGGCAACAATATGCATTTGGAATGTAAACATCAAACGCAAACATATAAAAATTATGGGTATTAAACGCACAAATTAATCATTAACAAAACACGGCAGATGTATGTTACAACTAAATAGTCTATTGATGACCAAATACAATGCAAATTAAGAAAATATGAGTCCGATAAACCGATATGAGTCGCGTGAAGTACGAATACGTCTAGATACGCCAGCGACCGGCCCGAAACTGCCTGCAATCCATCGATAGCGCAAGAAACGATGCGACAGTCTCCAATAAGACAACGTGCCTGCAGCATGAACCACGCAGGTAAAAGTAATAGGTGCGCAAAACGATCCACCGATAACACGCAACCTTGTGTGTGAATTGCAACAGGCATGTTAGGTACCTGCGATCACAACTAAACTAAGGACGAGACAACGTGTGGCGTGAGGGGATGGCAACGACGACACACGGGCATTCGATAAGAAAGTGTAAATTGTGTTCAAAACAAACACAATTCTTGTATCGAATGAAAACGTTTGCTGATAAATATAGAAATAAAGAATAAAATTCTATTTTTAGTTCAGGCAAGTGCCATCTCTGAATGCTACAGATACTAGTCCCGCAATTACAATTATTAAAACTAATCAAAAATTAAAATTCGAGTGGTGTAATTCTAATTTCTCATGGTGAATGATTTTCAATTTTACTAAAACAAAATGATCAGGAGAACTGTTTATAGCAATATCCAAAATAAAAACTTTAAATTATCAAATTTTATTTTTCTGTGGAAAATGTGAGTTCACATTTGATCAAATTGCGAGAAAACTATGGGTCCAAGAGTAAAATTTGATTTAAATAAAATGTTCAGGAGCACTTCTTACGGGATCATTCAAAATAAAAACTTTAAATTTCCATATTTGATTTCTCTATGGAAAATGTGACCTCACATTTGAACAAATTGCAGGAAAGCTATGAGTCCAAAAGTTAAATTTTATTAAAATAAAATGCTCAGGGAGCCCTTCTATACCAATTTCCGAAATAAAAAACTTTTAATTTACAAATTTAATTTTTCTGGGGAAAATGTGTGTTTAACGGGTGGCGCATTAGAAAATGCTTTATTTTCAAATTTCTTGTTTTATTCAAGAGGTAGGTACTATTAAGTGCAACAAGCATACACTGTCGTTTACATCAATACATTATTGACATTGCGGCCCGGTCTTTCCAGCAAATGAGTATTTGCCTGTTGTATGTAGGTGGGTGCGATGTATAATTAAATGATTGGGATACCTCGTGGCACAGGAACTGGCAGCTATGGGACAATAATCAAGCAAACTACAACATCATGAGTAATTTTGAACATTCCGCATCTCTTGTACTCTCACAGATATAATCCTGGCATAGCCACGACACATATGAATGGAGAGGAAATTTCAAGTTATCACGCAATGTGCTAGATTTAGGTCAGGCGTATTGAGGTGGTTTTATACAACAAGCTAATGCGAGTAATCACACATGGCGGCAAACACTAATGGGTGTTGTTTCATTTTCCATACTATACTATATCCGTACGTTTGGAAATTAATTGCACGTTAATAAGTCTAATTATTGTTACTAATTTGTTTAATTCACTAGATGGTGGATTCGACCACTTCCGGAATGCCAAAAGTTCGAGGTTCACATGTTGGAATTCCAGCTCCTCATTGATTCAGTGTCAGGTGTTATTTTGGTCATTTCAGTTTAACTTTGATTTAAATCATATACTCGTATACCTATTTGAGAATGTTGTACGTTCCATTTACTTTCAAGTAGTTGAATAAAGTAGTTTGACACCCTTGACATAATCTCCTGTAAAAACAACATATAGATATTTATATTTGTTTGACCAAATTATATCATAACAATCATGATGATTTCCCATATCAAACGATTTTTATGATGATTTCAATATTTGCGCAAAATTTTAGTCTTTAATTTGGGGTCATATGAATTTAGCAGATTGTTCTGTTATCCTCTATAAATTATATTGATCAATGATTTGCAAAAGAATAAGTTTCATTTGTTAGGAATTAAGTGTGATAAACCTCAGCTCATATATTTGTTTTATTAGACTAATACCAGCCTATATGTTACGTCCAGAGGGTTATGAATGAAGACGAAGCCGGCGAGATTCAGCAGCTCGATCCTCTTTTGTTCGATTCGTATAAATTGAGTAATTTCTAATTATCAACAGACGAGGTTTCCTAACATCGGTCGGCGTTAGGGAACGGCTGTAGAGAGTAAACAGTAGCAGTATTCAGTCAGTCAGGAACTGGAGTCAGAAGACATTAGATTCAACACATTTCGAGCATCTGTTGTATCTGTTGATAGTAGGCAGTGGACAATAGTCAGTAGACAGTAGCCAGAGTCAGAGTCGAGCCATATGGTAATTACTCGATGGCGATTCGGCGGATGGCTAAGCCATTTTGGCAGATTGCGTGTAGAATAGAGTAGGAATTTACTAATAAACGAACATCTAAAATTCACTCACATGTATATGACACTTAAGACTCACCAAGCGTATTATTTATATTAATATCTAAAATGGGTTCCAAATTATGTAAATTATTTTATTTTTTCGGTCGGTTTGGTTAGATATTTCCAATGTCAAATTACAACACGTACCGATATATTTTTGGCTGTCTGCATTCATAAGTATAGTTGATCGATCGCATAATTACACCTGATATGATTGCTATGTGAGAACCATGATATTTTGTATGTATGCTTATCACTTATTTCTTGTTTAATTAATTCAGAAATATAGTGCAATATTGCATTGTACACAATTAAAATATTTTGCGTCACATAGAATAATTAATAGATTATGATCATATCTCTATTGACAATCATTTATTAAAGTTACCATATTTAAGTTCTCAAAAAAGTATAAACTATTATTTTGCGGCTACGAATCAAGTTAGGTGCTATAAAATAATTAGTCTCAGTGTAGGGTGCGGATAGAAAATGTTTTAAATATCTTTGTACAATATTTCCGAAGCTATGTATGGAAAATTTAATTTTTTTTTAATTGCTTAGATGGGTGATCCGAAATGCAAATATAATTAAAGGTTAAACTTAATAGTAGAGGTTTTGAAGTAGTTTAGATACCTATTAAGCGCCAAATGGTTACACAATTATAGAAAAAAACGATAGGAAGTATAATTATTTAAATAGGAGTATAAAATTATACTTTTGCCTCAGTCGCTCAGTTACAAGATTGCAGATAATAGGGAAAATTATAGTCAAGTACATTAACGTAACTACTTAAAAGTACTGAAGGAAATTCGGGTAAAGTAGAGCATCTTATGATGATAGATAAGAGCAATTCTTTAAAATCAGTTGTACTCTAATAAAGTATAATAGAAACGCTTTTGAAAAGAGGGTATGTGAAGTAAATACATGTTAAATAACTGTTTTAGACCGGTTTTATTTTCTTTCTAAATTAACCGAATCCAAAATCGTTTATATTCGTGAATGTAGTTGTGAAGTTTTTCGTGAATAAGATAAAATCTACTTTCAGTCTTTTAAAGCAACATACGTTTTTGTCAATTTCAAGTAAGATATTATTCCTGAAGTGTAATTTTAGGTTTAATAAAAATTTTCTTACACATTGGACACTTCTAAGAATATATATGTATATTATATACGAGTAATAATATAATTAGTATAAATTGTTTGAGCTTACCACCTATTGTGGCCATAACCACATTGTCTTTCTGCCTTAAGCTCCATCTATTTTTTCGTCGTTTCTTTCTTTGATACTTTGCTTATAGAGTTATTACGAAAATATTTATATATAGCTTTTAAGGTAAACGAACTTCGGCATCTCTTTATCTCTTTAAATCACTTTTTAAAGAGATGCCGTTACATCGAGGAACAAAAAACTAACCAAACATTGAGATTTAGCAAACTAAATATTAAGAACAAATTTCGCTCTACGTTTGTCGTGATATCGAGTCACGTTTTAAGGGCGCTAGGAGATGTAGGGTTTTCACTCAAATATTGATTTTTTAGTTTATATTAAGGCTGCAGCTATATAAATCGCTTAATTATTATTATTGAATAATCTGACAACAACATAAAAACCAAAATACATTGTCCGGAATAATCCACTTTATAACCCAACAAACTCTTCAATTGATTTAAAATCTCATAACCATATTCATTTTTGCAACAACACGTATATCATGAGCAGATTATCATCTCAACTCAATATCAATTCAAAACTTAATCGTTCGAACCAAAATCGCATCAAATTTTAAAGTCAATTTAAACGCGATATTAAGGTGATGAAAAAAAAAACAGATCATTAATGTGAATAATAATGGTGAGTATTCACAATGTGATACAAAGTCATCAGTGAGGACAAAGGGAAATTGCTACGCACTAGTTCATACCTGTAGACAGAAAAAAAAAATCGAGCATAATTTCAGTCAAGGAATTCCATTTAAGTACCGTGATAGGAATTTATAAATTATTCAAAATTGATTCCTGTAGCGCACTATAAATAATTATATCTTTATAAATTGTTTAACAATTGAACAGGCATTATTTTCCCGCTATGTAAACTAAAAATGAGCAATTTTTAGTAAAATATTTACAATATATAGCCCGAATATGAATTCCTGTTTAAGATTTTCCTACAAAAATAATGGAGGAAAAACATATGTACAAGAGACTGTTTATAAAAACAATGCGATAGAATTTTTAATCAAAAATGTTTCTATGATAGGATTATATGCAAAATAGAATAATTTATTGTTACCCGGTTGCAACAAAGTTGTGATTAAAGAAAATTATGCTTTTAATTTTTTCTCAACCCGCAATATTACGTATCTTACAAAGTATCGCACCAATGCGCATAAAAAAACACTGACTAACGTGTCGGTTGTGTACATCAGCCTATCACTACACGGACATTTCGGCAAATTTTATAGATTAAAGTATTAACCTTATTTGCCGCGTACAGCATCATCTATATTATCCAAAACATTACAATAACATTACAACATAATAATATGTTGGATGATTTGATATTGCGTGATTCTCAAAACTAGTTCACACATGAAAGTAAAATCAAATTAACCATGTAATAAAAAAATGCGACCATCATAGTAGTAATAATAGCAGCGTTTAATGTAATGGATGAACAAGTCAGAATGCACAATATCGGATGTTCATAAATCGGTACATTCGATTTTTATACGGGCGTCATATTGAACATATATCGAAGCTTAACTCACAATCGATCCATAAACTGATATGCTGATTTGAACTCGACCGTGTAAGAAATTTAAGGATCTTCGCTAAAACCTATCAGCCGTTTAACGACAGACATTACTGATGAAATTTGGCGTTAATTAATTGGCGTTTAATGTATAAATTAACACAGTAATTTAATTCAATCTCCAACATTTCTGGTTTCGCAAATATTCGAAATCTCCTGTTGCGTGTCTGCCGCCATCGGTACCCTTCTCGCGTTAACACCCTTCTGATGCGCTCGCGACGTTGGCGACAGCAACAACGGCTGGCCGACTAGAGCGTTCGCACGCCGTTCAGTTGTTATCGCAACGACACGACGCGAGTACACACGTTAGTTGCAGTACTAACACATCGGAACACAACGTAGGGTAGCGGCCGCCGCCAACGTCGCCGCCACCACCAGCGCGCGCATACCTCGTAACTATTCGTGCATTTTACGTCGACTTCAAACAACACACCACAGTCAAACAAAACACATTCGCCTTCTAGTCGTGCATGTCATTTTCAATTTTCTCATAACTGTGCGCTGTATTCACGTGTGCGCGAGGACCCTGTTAGTCTATGAATATGCGAGTGTAGTGCACGGCTGACGTATACTCACATATACAAGCTAATAGGAAAAATATCAACGCGTCGAAGCGGCGCGACTAGACTAGCCTCAGAACACTGAAAACGGCGACACAACTATTCTTGCTGCTGCGTGGACGAAGTCGTTGTGACAAAACAATTTTTGCTGTTTCGTTTGTTATTAGAAGTAGTGAATTATATCATTCTCATCTGTCTACATCAGATAGTGCAACTTGACCAAGTATCTACTCCATCTCACACTTCTCGTTGTTTATACTGGGACCGTAAATATATTTTTTGGGATAGTTTGAAAGTAAGTGAATGTTTATTTGTGTCTTGTTTTTTTTTTAATAATAAGTACAGTTGATGCGGGAAAATTTTGAACTAGTTTGAATAAAGTCGTGTGTCTATTTGGCGACTGAATATTTAGTACTCAATATTCGCGAATTGGAATGCACAATTAGTGTTTATTTTTGCGAGGCAGTGGCCTGGGAGCAGCGGCTAGAACTATGAAGAGTAGGTTAAAAATTGGTACAATTGGCGGTTGGCCAAATACAACGCATACGCATTGGTAAATATGCTGCGCCTATATTTTCATTTCGTATCAGCGCGCACATCACAATTTGCACTTAATGTCTGCAACCGCCTATATTCATTGTTTTTAATCAACCAATTGAGGACTCCGGACGAACAAAATATTTGCGGTGCGTTGGATTCTGTATTTATTTTGAATTTAGCAGTGACCTTTTTCTAAAATTGATATTGAAATAATTTATTACCTATATTATGAATATTTGCAATATTAATAATTCTTTATTTGTGGAACCAAAATATATTGCACAACATATACGGATCTCAATTATTTGTAATTGTTGTGTATATAATAAAAAAAAAACAGTGGGAAATATCAAAATTAATTGCACTCAAACGTGTAGGTAACACGTCAACATGTATCAACATGTACAACTGATAGAACTTAATAGAAATGATTGGTCATGTGATATTGTTGTTTTGTTTTGGATTCGGCGAAACTTGGGTAAATGGCTAGTACTGGTACAGGTACACGAATAGCAAATTAGCGAACCGTTACATGGAAAGAATTCAAATTTGCTTATATAGAAAAGTCTGTTTGCTACCCGAATGCTTAAGTTTATTAGAGACATTAAGGAAATTTCAGAAACTATAAAATTTACAAAATAAAACGAAAAGAAAAAGCCGTTTCTACATTGCTGCTTAGCATTAGCTAAAAGCAATACTTTAATAGTATATTAAGTATCAAGTGTACTAAACTGCTCTGTTTAACAACGTTTAGCAACGTGACGCTTACGCTATTTTTTCTATTTCCACTCCATTTCCACGTTTTTTAAATTAAACTTTTGTATTGTAAAACTTCGAATTTTGTTTGTACACTATCGGAAAATGCAAGGCTATAATCGCATGGGAGTTCGCACACGCGAACGCGCCGCGCTTGGTCGTGCCACGCCAGGCGTGCTGCGCTGAGCCGTGGAGCGCTAGGCGTTCTTTTGAGCTTGGACTGCCGACGTATGGAAGCCGTCTACTTTGTGCTGTATCGTTGGCGCAGGCGCAAGCTCTACCCCGTGACTAAAACTCGAAACTAAAGTAGGTACTTTAGTCACGGCTTTAGCCGTTCGTGAAGTAGGTACTGCTATACCGACGTTACTATTTTATACCATTATAATTACATACTCACTATTAAGTTTCTGAATTTTATACACCTTCTAAAGCAGTTTGTCACGTGTTAGTTTAACTTTAGTGTTACTATATCAATCAATATATTTTAAACAATTCAATGAGAGAGAAGTCTAATATTCCTAGAGTGACAATCAATAATGTCACCTAATGGCGTATAAACCAACGGCTAAAACAGAAGTTAGTAACTGCTTTTTAGTGTGATTTATTAATACGCACTACGTGGAATATACTTTTTTTCATTAATTACTTTACGAGACACGTGGCATTACTTTGACACAAAAAAGTTCAGCTATAATTTATTAGATTTTGAAAACTGCAACTAGCTAGTAATTTGGCTTAATGTTTAACTGTAATAATTCCCTTAATTTTATTTATTTTTATCCGTATTTATCCAATTACTACCTAACAAGTTGGGTCAAATTGATTTTTATACCAAAATCTACTGCGACTTATAATTCGTTACACAGAAATGTATGCATGATATGGGCAATATGTAAAATTGTTGTCGATCGACATCAATATTACAATATAATGAACGTCAGAACAAACCTCGCGTGAATGTTGTGATCAATAAAAGCCTAGAAATATGTACAAAAACAGTAGCAATATGGTTACAAACGAACGATCAGTGCTTGGGCGTATAATGTATTTCTTTTAGGATAGGTAGAACAACGCAGCTATGCAATATTACACTCATTAGTTGCACTGCCATCATACGAATTTATTTGACCATAAGTAGTTGGGAGAAAATTTTAAATAACCATTTTAACTATTATTTAAACTGAAAATTATTGTAAAATAATGGAAACGCAATTTTCTACTAGCTGTTCCCATAAAGAAACTCGCTGAGCAGCAATGTTTGTTTGGTGTTGCTGTAGCAACGTTGCATGTATTTATAATTCAATTGTGACCACACCAGTGATGTGTATATATCGGACATTGTCGCACAATAAACTTTCTAGTACTGCTTCTAAATTGGTGTAATATATGTAATTGCAAATGTTGATTAATGTAGACTTATATGTTTCTCTTATTTATTAGATTAAATAGTGATTATAATCTTACTAATTAGGCAGAGTGTATGATTATAAATGGAATCAAATGTATACCATAATTAAACAGAACCATCAAAATTAGATATTAAAGCCTAATCTATTGTTATGTTTAATTTACTAAAGAAAAAATAATAATACCAAGAAATACCACCAGAATACTACCTAAGTAATATTAATGTACTAGATTTTGTATTCTTTAAATCTCATTCTTTTGCAAGTCGTCAAGTTCTATGGCCTTTAATTTGTAAGAACCGTGTGAAATGCACAATCTGAAATTTAATAATTAAAAAGTTGTAGTTCATTATACACTGTGTTTCTATAATCAAATATTAATCGCCTATAAATTACATGCGTGAAATAGTTCTGGGAAATAGTTCTATTTAAGTAATGATGGACTGTAAGTATAATTTATTCATTGATATTAGTCCCTGAATAAAAAGTAAATTATTTAGAAATAATTGTTTTCAGCAGTTGTCATTCTTTTAATACTTGAAACATTATTTTTTTTACTATAAAAACAACCTTTTTATACGAGTTTATTTATGGCGTTGTGATTAATTGTATTATTTTTGTTTCAATAGAGCTGAATTAAATTCTAAAAAAAACTATTGTTGTATTTGTCGACACTAAAATTGTGTTCGGCAGTTGTACAAACATACAACACCACTAAAATATGTTTTTAAATTATTGCTAAATAGTTTTATATTCTATTCTATTATATTCTCCCTGTACATTACTACACAACTATTTTTTTGAATTAGTAGTTAGTCATGCCAACGCGACAGTTTAACAACAGAATGAAGTTTTGTTGTTAATTGCTTTGTTATCACAATATTAGTGGATTGAATGTTTGTTTACAAAATATTAAATAGTAACCTATTTGCCTAATTTGCATACGCGATTTCTACTTATTAAACATTATTTTCCAACGGATTTACATGACCAATTAGTGTCCCCTCTCTCTTGTTTCGCCTCAAAATCGTTCACAAGTCAAATTGCCTCTTAACAAACCCTGTACCACGCGCGTGGATTTTTTTAAACAGTAAGTGTAATTAGCATTGACTTCCGGGGGAATTATATTAGCGCGTAAATGTGGAAACCGGTGATTAATTAACATTGTTGGTTTTAGCCCCACCGGCATTGTGGAACTTCAGGAACGGCGAGTACATCCGGCCATGGCGAACGTTACCAATGGGCATCAGAGGGAGGACTATACAAAGCACGTCTTCGGAGGTATAAATAACATTGTAATTAAATATTAAAAAATTGATTTATACATTAATAATGAAATACATTTATTTGTTTATAATATAGAAGAATATTGACCAGTGTTTTTCTTTGTTGTAGGTGAACCACATCATGGTGAGTCAATAGAATAATGAAATACATTATTAAAGTACAAAAATATAACGATATGTCATGTTTCCGATGGAAGGTTATCTGTTATTCATTATCCGATACACTATTACAAAAAGGCATGTAAATCGATTCAATATTATCAATTTCTGAACGCTAGGCAACAATGCTCAATGCTAATAGTTTTTGATGATTTAGGTACATACTTGAAAAGTTAATAATACAGTTAAATTTATTTTGAGATCTGATGCAAAAAGATATTTGTATTTTCAGCTGTTACGTATATGATGTTGTACTTTGCTTATACAAATATTTTGGTTACATGACTAAAAATGTCTCAATCTGGATTTAGTGCAGATCCCAAACGAGTTGTAACTGAGCTTAAACTAGTTTGGATAATAAAATATTCAAACCTTGCAGAGTGGTTGCTTTAACCATCCTGGTACAAAATTTGAAATGTTTCTATTTTGAGCTGAGTACAAACTCGTGCAGCTACGAAATAAGAAGTCGGTCTACCCTGAAATTATTTGCTCTGTGATTAAAGTGGATGATAGTCGAGTATTCATAAGTAAATTTGGTTCAAAGTTCAAAGTTAATCTAATTAATAATTCGAGATTCCTATAAGTAACATAAAAAATGAGCAATTTGTCAAGAGAGTTGTACTGTTTGCAATTCCCTTTCAATTTGGTCAAATAATTATTTTGCAAAACATACATTCATACCACAATATTTGCGGCAAACCATAGTTAGGTCTGCTTTTCGTCTAGCTGCACTCTGTCAGACGGTATCTCCTCAATGGATCAGAGGAGCCGGCGATTTGCTGGTTGAGGGAGTAATTTGCGCAATTTTCCTCCTATCTTTGCGCCAGCCAGGATGCTTGATGCGTTCCCGAGCTTAACGAACCACCCTGGATCCTGTACACATTGCCAACCACTTTGAGCTACTGTTTGCATTAGGTGGTTACTTTTTCGTTTTCTCTTTGCACAAATCATGGAGGAATAACACGAATAGAAACTGTGCAGAATCCACCATAGCCTGATTACAGCTTGTGTCACTAATTAAATCCAAATAACAGTTTCTAGAGTTGTGTAAACCTAAAAATATTCTCATACTAGAGTTGACCAAATTTACGCCCACTGGAGATAGAAAAAGTCTTATATTTCCCTATGCGCACAGGATGTTTGAATAATTAACGATGACAAACCCCAAAACTCACTTCTTTTTTATATCGTTCTTTCACGGTCCACAAGAATATATAGCTGCTTTGGGGCAATGATAAAATGGGTATGCTACAAGTATGTATTAAAGAAGAGCGGTGGGAATACTCCTTAGCATTTCATTGTGTCGCAGTGCATCCGAAGCATACATGCGAAGAATATTAGAACAGAGGCAAGATTTTATTAACAGTACATCTTTATACCTCAGTGTACAAAGTCTACATCAGCTTCATGTTTTTCCTAATTATGTAATTTTTAATAATGAATGTTAGAATGGGTATTAAAACTGCAGTACCTGCAAAAACAATTTGTGGGTGATTGCGGCGGAAAATTAATTATCAAGAAGGCAAGGGTCTGGCATGCTTAAACACCATTAATCAAGTTTTATAAGTGTTTATATAAATTATTTTACTTAAACCTAGATACATATTATGCGCCTTATGCTTTATTTCGACAAACATTTAATATGTGAGGTCCAAATGCAAAATCATGACTTCTAGTTTAAAGGGTTCATGCCAGGACCTAAGTTTGAAACCAAAAGATAACGATGAAAGCTCAGTGTATACGTGTATACGAATACAAGATTCTTGCTAAATTATTAATCATATGCCATTTTGTTTTTATTTTCTTTTCTTTATATTTTAACTATATTTTATAATAACTCTGGTTTTTCTGAGTGGGTGCATTTTTACAGGCATTATGTTTTTATTTATGTTTGTGCTGTTAATGAACTGTATCTTGAATGAGATAAGAGCGCACACTCTATTTTAAAAACAAAAAGATTGTGATATAAAATATTAAATTAATTAACTAGTCACATTTGAAGCAACAAATTGATAATAATAATAATTTTAAAACGAAGAAAATTATTTTGCTTAAAAGTAATAGAAACTAATAATAGTGTTATACTCGTACCTAATATACGAGTAGGTACTTCGTGGATATTGAATCTTGTTCTTATTTTTAGCTCAATATAGTTATTATTTTTTAAGCGAATTTTTTTGTTTATATATTTAACTTGCTCTTTAAAGAACTCACAGCAAGTGTAGTGTTGCAGCTAAACAAGCGGGTTATCAAGTTTTAAAAAAAATAACTATTATACTATTGTGTATCAAAGAAATTTTGTAGTTTGCAAATATTTTTTTATTTGTTTTTGCCTGTCGAAAACATTTTATACACAGTGTCTGAACTCCGCAAGTAAGGGTCACTGACGATGCCCTCGAAACATGTGTACTCAAAACAAAGTGCAGAATTTTAAATAAATCCAATATATAGGTAACCACACATATGTTTCAATTTTTTTGGTTAAGCTTGTATTACTAAAAGTAATAAATCATTTTTAGGATATATTATTTGACCCGCAATAACATTTGTACCAAAACAATATGTACCTATGAACATGCGTCACTTTTGGAACATATAGCTATTACAACAAATAAATATTTAATAATTGAGTTTTTCAATGTAATTTTTGCCACGTCAATTGAAGAAATTTGTGGAATATATTTATGAAATTATAAATATATGAATAAATAAATTATAAAAATATGTCTGGCAAAACTTTTATTATTAAGTTTTTAAAAACAAAAACGCTAAATTAAAACTACTTGTTATATTATAATTAGTAATAAATGCATTATCTTTAATCTTTAATCATTCCCTAAATTATTAACAGATTACGTTTTTACCGGGTCATTATTTTAAACAAGGATGACATTTAACGCCCACAATAAATAATAATCAATAACATGTTATTGTATAGATGTTGATTGATGTCGCGCGTGTTAAATTAGTCATTAATAATTTCTTTCTTTAATTTCCTAAACTGTATCTGCAATCATTAATCTGTTTATTATTTATTGAAGGATGCGTACATTATGTAGTTTTTAAGTCGATGCAGAAAAAACGTTTTATATTGAAGCAGTCGCAGTATACGAGTACGAGTATTTATATGAGCATCAATTCTTCAATTTGATTTTGTTTCATCGGAAATAATATAATGCGAAGTGCCTCATCACAAGTTCATATTTTCTGCGAATGTAATATAAAAATGAAAGAACTTCGTTCTAATAAACGCCGTGTGTGCATGTGTATAAATTTTCCGAGTGCATGTGAATGTGTTAACGAGAAAGTCTAATCGAAACATAAAGCATAAAGCCGCGAGCGAACCACACGCGACGACGTCGACGAAAACACAACGCATGTCATTCGTTGGTCAGTAAAATATGGAAACAACATCAAACCATCGACCGTCATAACGCTAGCGACTCACCTAGTGAGCAGTGCACAACGCGTTGTGATACCCTGAAAGTATAAAACAATTGCATTGAATTGCAGCTGTAATTTAATATTAATTAACGGTTTTCAATAAGTTTGTGGCAGTGCATGCGCTGGTGTGTTCAGGTCAGGCCAGCATCTGTCGGGTGGGTTGAAGGTACACGCGCCGGTCCTGCATTATAGAAAAGTGTGGAACCTATCGCCCGAGCGTTGTACGCGTTGGGAACATTGCCAGCTCTTTGGAATTAGCGAACACAAGGGGTTGGACCACGTAGCATTGCCACCAACGATGATTAACGGTAATGCGACAGTCTTGCAGAAACATCAGCAGCGCCCCTCGTATGCGACTACGGTCAGCATGTATAGCAATGGTAATCGTGCACTAACCGTGTGTTCGTGTGTGTTTTTGTGCGTGCGTTTCAGTTTTTAAATTAATAGAACCGTGTTTTTCTAGTTTTCTGTAATGTTATTTTAGTGATTTATTTATTGATTTCATCAAATGCATCATAACATACAACATTTACCGGATATTTAATGTATATAAGGTCAGCGCTATTGATTAGGGTATAATTTTGGAATATAGAAATAAAAACAAAGTAATATATCATTACAGAAAAACCCATTACAATTGTATTAGTGACTAAACACAGCACCTGTGTGTTTTTCATTAGCTATGCACTGATTTTCGAGATAACATGCAACATACTGGCAACAAGTTATTTTTATGTTGCATTTTTATGCGACAATATTTTATTTATTGTTATAACATTAAATCAGAACAAATATAAGTGAGCTGGATCAAAAAAAAAAACTAAGTGAAAAAGTTGTTTGACTTCAATTACCTCACTCCACATCGCAGCTTTCGAAGGAGTATTGTTTTCATAGTTTAAGTTCAAGGATTGCACAGTAAACGATGCAATTGAAAACTCAAGCTAAAAGGAAAATATAACAATCACTGGTGGCATGTTCCTGTCGTTGCGGGAATTTGATCACGCGATACAAATTTGACACCGTACGTCGAAAGCAACAGTAGCACCACCCTTATTTTATATTTTGGTATGCATTATAAAAATGCTGAAAAGACAGTATAGGATAATTTTGTTTGATTCTGCACAATTCCCAATGTTGTGTTTTATGCTGTGCTATCATGAAAACCGTTTTATACATTTAATTAAAAAACTAATCAAATCTTATAAAATACACTTTTTAAGAACTCACCAATATTGATGCTCCATATTTGGATGTTTAGTTCTCAACTGTTCTCTTCTTATATTTTGTCAAATTCTTTTTGACGTTTCCTTTCCGAATTAAGCTTATACAATTGATAAGTATTTTCGATCGTCATATATTATATCAAAGAATAGTTTAAATATGGACTAAAAATCCTTCCAATATACCATAATCATAAATATATTAATATAACGAGGTATATTTTACCTGAAGGTCAAACCACTTTTACAATTAATACTCGCTATGGATTTTATTAATATTTTATTGAATGTCTAGGTTTTA